CTTACTGAGAAAGCGCTGGCTATCAGGGTAATTTAAATTTCCTCCACCGCCAGTTACCTAGAAAAATTTACCTTACCGACAACTAATTTCTTACTTATAACTTAGAAGACTTGGAAGACAGATCAATTGTCGTTCTTTTTTAATGTTTCATGGGTTACAGTTTAATTTTTTTCATAAATATGATATTTAAATGTTTTAATGTGTGTATTTTATTATATAGAATTTATTATTATTTGACATACATTAAGTGTTATGTATGAAGTATTAAATGTATATAACTTGTTAGAGAGCAAGTTACTTTTTGAATTTCTTTACAATTATTACATTTGCTACATTTCCGTTCGGATCACTCAGATGACCCCAAATTGATGATACTGAAATTAAGAGACATCTGATAATTTTTAGAATCTTTTATTAAAAATAAATTGTACAAGAAAAATTTATTTAAAAATTCCATAAAAATAAAGTTAGCCGACATTAAAAAATTTTTAGAAATTTTTTTATTGAAAAAATTTCAATTTAATTTAATTAATAAAAATAAATAAAAAATTTTTAGACGTCTGCTAACTTTACTGTCATAAAAATTCCATCTTTTTTTGAAGCTCTAAAAAAACATAAATGCAATTTTTTAGAAATAATTTTCTAGACCAAGTTTATTTTTCAAGAAAAATCAAATAATTGTCAAGTGTCTGCTAGTTTCAGTGTCATAAAAATTAAAATTACTATTAATGAATTAATAACACTATAGTTAGTCGAAATTTTTAATTTTTTTTCAATAATTAAATTAGAACAAAAAAAAATAATTTTTAAAAATTGCACTTACAGTTTTTTAAGTTTTTTACAAATGAAATTTAAAAAAAAATTTTTTTGTAATAATTTTTTCAATGAAAAAAAAATTCTTAAAATTTTTAGATGTCGGCTAACTTAATTTTCATAATAAATTGAATTAAATAATTATCAATTTTTTAAGATATGGCAAAGGATTTGGTCTCATTCCAAAATCATCAATTTTTTATTTACCGAATAGTATCTATGGACTGATATTCTATGGAATAGTTTTTGCTTTAAGTATGTTTTATTTTAAATAATCAAATAAATATTATTGCTAGTCAACAGTAGGATAGTAATGTGATTGTTGGTTTTTTGTTTAGATATTTTTAACAAATACGGTTTAGCTGTAATAACAATTGTCTTGACCGCCTCATCAAACTTGAGCTCCATTTATCTGGCTTGGATTCTTTGGAAATTGAATGACATTTGCATCATATGTATTAGTACCTACATTGTCAATTTAATTCTTGTGATTCTCAGTTACAACAAACTGTCATACATTCGTCAACAGTTATCTGTAACCGTTGGACCAAAAACTACTGGATATAAAACTACTCATAAAAAGAAGAGACATTAGATCAATTATAAATTTTTTGTTTTTTTATTTATTAATTTTCAGTTTAGATTTTGAAAAAAAAAAAAAAAAATAATAATATATTCAATATCAATAAATGCCATATAATTATTATTAATATATTTAAAAATAAGCTTATAATTATGTTTTATAAAAGTACTATTTTCAAGCGTATTAAAAATTGAGTAAAATTATATATATTTATTATTTTGTAGTTAATATTGTTTAATTTATAATTATAATAAACAAATGATTATATATATATTATATTTTTCATTTTGTTTTTTATAAATTTATGTTACACTTTATATAAGTTCTTATGTTACATACAAGTTATGTATATATATATTTTGCCAACACATTATTTATAAGCAAAAGAGTTAGTACGAATAAGTCGCGTGCCTAATGCCAAAAGGGCGTATAAAAAGTTATACGCCCTTTTGGCCTTGCAAAACCAGAAGGGCGTTTAATTTTTTTTTTTTTTGTGCCAATTGTTTTGTAAACATGTTCTAAGCCTAAAAATGAAAAAAAAATTTTCAAAGCCAAAAGGGCGTATGTCTCAAGTTATACGCCCTTTTGGCTTTAGAACACTGAAAATTCCAGTGATCTAAAACCAAAAGGGCGTATAATTTTTAATTTTCCGTTAAGGTGTTTTTCATTCGATACATCATACATACATATTATGGATTTTAAGAAAAAAATATATCTTTTATTGCAGCTATAGCGGGCAAGAAATTATTATAATAATTCGAAGTTAAAAAATACTAGAAAAAACTTATATCAAAATACGGAAAGTTTATTGGGGTACAATTCCTGCACCTTCTCTACGTGCATCTTTTACATTTTCGTCTAAAAAAAAAAAAAAAAAAGGAATTTATAAAAAATATGAACATTGGTCTGTCCAAGATGATGAAAATTTGAAGTTACTACCATCGAAAATGTTGACTTTTTAAAAATTTTTTTTTTTCTACAAACCTTCTCCGGACAATTTTGAAGACTGTTTTTCGAAATTTTGAAAAATCCTGATTTTTTTATACGGCATTTTGGCGTTAGTACGTCAAAAATTTTTTTTCTGCAGGTCTTTACGTTTCGAGCGATTCTAGAAAGAATGACAAAAAAAAATTTCTATACGCTCTTTTGGCATAAAACCCTATCTAACTGCTGTAATACGCCCTTTTGGCATTAGGCACACGAAGTATGTATAGCAAAAAAATTAATAACTTTATTATAAGTTTTTATTTGTGTTGGTATTTTCGCCGCTGTTACTGTACCGATTTATGCTAGCAAGGATACTTGGGCTCTTTAATGGACTCTCCAATGGCGTTTCGTCTAAGCGATGCAACTGTGTGTTAGATTTATAAGTTATTCTCGGAGAATAATTTCTAGTGTTTAAATTTTTATTATTATAAGCAACAGTATTGTCTTCGAGAACATTAAAGCTTTTACTTCGGGAGAGAGATGATTTAAAAGTACGATCAGGCTTGACTGGTAACGTTCCAGTGTTATTGACAACAGCCATTTTTGGTGGTGTATTGTCTCTCATTGTCGGTGGTGGAGCATTATGTTTAATAGATATATTTATCATACTCCCATAATGCATTGACTTATTAGACGAAGGCGACATTGATGACATTGGAGCGAACGACTGCGTTGGCGACGGCGATGACGATGACGAAGATTTTATGTAGTTTAAATGATTGTGGCTTGACGAAAACTGATTCGCCGACGATCCAGTCGGTGGTTTAGCTGATTTCTTCTTCGTTAAGCTACTGTTATTATTATTATTATTATTATTATTATTATTATTATTATTGTTATTATTTCGGACTAATAAATAACGCTGAAGTTTTCGAGGTAATGTTTGAGTGCTTGTAACTTGTCGATCCTTCTGATCATATTCATTTGTGGTTGCCGGTGACGTCATCAGTCGACTAGCAGACTTACTAAACCGTCCAAGGAATGTTGATGGCTCATGATTCGATCTCGATAAAGTTTGATTATACTTTATATTATTATTATTATTTTTACAAATATATCTATCAGAGGTTTCATTGTCGTTATTCATATTATTATTGTTATTGTTATTATTGTTGTTGTCGTTATTGATTAAAGAGCTCGGAGGAAGAGGAGCTATTGGTTTTCGTGACTTTGTTGCAAACTTATTCTTATAAGCAGGATCCCGGTCTGTATTTTGTTTTCCGCCTATAAATGATTCTTTTATGTAGTATCTGTGGACTGGAGTGATTGAATTATTTCTTCCATACTGATCGTAATTAGCAATATGCCCGTTTGATCTAGTGACTTTAATAGTTTTAGTTATACCTGGAGCAGAACCACTGATTACAGATGAACCATTTTTTGAGGATTTTTCTTGTAATGATTTACTGTCACTGTTGCTGTTAATAATTGCTTCATGAATGTCGTCATTCGTTTGATTATAGTGATATTGGGTGTCAGGAATATTTTTATCAATTACATTGTATTGAAGATATGTAGTCATCGGATTTTTGGTATTATCTGTTTGTGTCACTTGAGAAACTGATGTAGTATTTGACAAATTACTGTTACCACTATTACCGCCACTATCACCACCATTGACACTCGATTTTTTATTTCTTCTTTCAGTCGAGGCTGAACGTAATTTATTTACAAATCGTCTGAACGATTCACCAATTTTAGATTTGCTGCTCGTTGATGTATTGGTTGACGAATTTTTTATAGCATCACCGTTGGAAGACTTTTTTTCACGTTTTATTAAAGTTGGTGTTGAGGAAAATCTAATTAGGGACGGGGGTGACGATGAACGACAGCGTCGATCACGATGTCGACGACGGTGGCAACAAAATTTTTGCTGTGAATTATTATTCATAGACTCGGATGTTTGTAAATTGTCAAACTGTCCGTGATAGTGGTACTGTTTGTGCTGTTGTGGGGGTGGATGGTGATAAACTTTTTTATTACGATTATCTCTTGTTCTCTGAATCACCTGGACCGATGATGAATGAGGTGGCAATTGCGGTGACGGCGACGATAAATTTAAATCATCTGTCTCACATTTGCATTTCTTTGTTACTAAAATCTATAAATAAAAAATTACAACATTAGTAACATTAAAAAATAATAATTTTCATATATAATATAATATAGCTCATACTTGTTGATGGTTTTTGTTGCTGTTTTGATTATACTGTAGTAACGATGAAGATGAATTTGAGGCATTTCGTTGCAACTGTTTATGTTTTTTCGTAGTCTCAGTATAATAACGCGGAGTCGAACTAGCGGAAGAAGTTTTAATATATGAAGAATCTTCAAAAATTTTTTTCGATATTGGTTGTTGGGGTGGTAAATTTTCTTGCTGCTCTATTGGCTCTTTCTCAACCTCGTTTATTTGTGGAGTTTCAATTCTACAGTATGAAGATGTGGTGGTAGACGACGACGACAACGATAATAGTGAAGACGGAGAATTACCATTGATATTTGGTTTCTCTAAAACAATAAAATATATACAGGTGAAGATGATTTAAATTCAATAAAAGGCAACTAAATAAATAAACTTTATAAAAAAAAAATACCTGTAGTATTGTGCTGTTGCTGTCTCTCAGACCAATTACTTATTCTTTCACTTTTTATATGTTTATTTGACAGTCGTACCGGTTGGTCATGCTCACTATAGCTTTGATCGATGTAGGTATTAATATATGTATCTTTATGTTTACCGTTATTTTTACAATCTTGTGACTTTGATGATTTCATAGTCACATTAATAAAACTTTTATTATTCATGGTCTGAACTTGAACTTGGCGGTTATTATCATTATGATTATTAGTGACTATTTCGTCTTTACTGCTGTGGGATGATAATCCATGGTCACTCCCAAAATGATTTTCGAGCCATTTGGACGTTTCGAATTTTTTAACTTCATCCTCTTCGTCCAAGCTCAAAGGTTTCTTCGTCAAAACGTTTTTCCTATTCAAAGTTGTTCTGATATTCTCGTCAACTGTAAAATATAGCAAGTATTATTTTAGCTGTAACACGCAAACCGTTTTGTAAAAAACTTACAATCGCCAACTCTATCTCCTTCCGTGATTTCAGAAATAAAGCGTCGTTCTCGAGCTATTTTTTCTCCATTTAATAAATAATCTACGATATCTTCATCGCGCTGTTTAAAAAATTTTTGTGAACTCTCTTTTTTTATTTCTCTTGGAATTTCATCATTATCATCATTAACATTATTATCTGGATATGAATAGTCCGGAACATCGTTAATCTATGAATAATATACGTTGTTTTTAAGATTATTTACTGAAAATCAAATATATGTAAATTCTAATGAATTATTTATGGATAAATAATTACTTCTTCATGCGTGACACTAGTTTTTGTTTCGGTAACAATCGCACCATCCGGTTTAAGGCCTGTTCGTTTAATCTTTTTTTCAGTATCGATAACTTTGTTCGACTTTGTCGTATGTTGAATAACACGCGGTTCAATATGGTCAGATGACAGTTGATTAACTGTTTCAGCTAAAGTCATTCTTAAATTTTTACGACTATTATTATTATTATTTCGTATTATTGCTAATTGGTAAGCCTAAAAAATTTTTAAAATCAATATAAATATTTATTCAACCTATAAAATAAAATAACTATCATGATAATAATAATAATAATAATAATAGTAATATCATACTTCATCAGTTATGTCACCAAGGTGTTGTCTTTTTTCAGTTTCAACAAACTCTTCAACTTCTTCTCGACTTTTAACAATCGTTTCGTTGAGTTCTTTCTGAATGATACTACCACCACCGGCATCGCTGGTAATTTTATCACTTGTTACAGTGATATTTCCATTTAAATTCGCAGATGCTGAGGGTGATATTGAACCTTCGCGTCGTCGTTTTAATGAATTATCATCATTAGCTATCGTCCGTTTCTGATAATAACAAATAAAGTTATAAAAATAAAAGCATCCCTGGTTGTAAATAAAACGATTAATTCTGGTCATATAGGTATATAGATGCCTACTCGCCCGCGCTCATAAAATCTTTTTAAATATATACAGTACTCACAAATTATAATACTTATATATACCTCCTGAGTTGTTTGCTCTTGCTGTTCAATGTCCTCAGTCGTGTTGGTGGTAACAAACGGCCCAGAATCCTTGATGACCTCGCCGTCCTCCAAAACCACTTGACGTTTTATTCTTGTCTCTATTTGGCGAGTTGTCGTTATTTCTTTTTTCTTTCGTGTTTCCCATTCTTCTATAAACACATACACACACACACAAATATATACATATATATATATACGTATAAACATCTTGGTATACTTGTATTTGCGCATAAATGTATATCGAAATAAAGATATAAGTGAATATAAAAAGATAAAAAAAAAAAAAGCAGCAGTGATTCAGCGCTGTTTATATATTTAAGTCATAATAGTGATAAGTACACCTTTATTTTACCTTCTATTACTTTAGCCGTTGAATTTTCTGGAGTTTGAATCTATAAGGAAAAAGATTATATAATCACTTAATTGATATGTCAATAAAAAGTATGACAATAACTGAGTACATATTTTTCAGGAGCAAATAATACGTAATAAGAAATAAAAATTTATCTTACAAACATGTCAGTGTAATGTGTGACAATATTAGGTGTCGTCGTCGTAGATTTTGGCTTTGCTGCTGCTAAAGCCTTTGACGATGATGTTGCATCATATTTTCTTGAGGAAATAACTTCCATTATTCGTCAAGGATTAATGATTGTCTTTACCGACTTAACTTAAGATATTCGATGATATGACTCTGGAAAGAACAGGAAATAATTACCAGTGAAAACATTTACTCAAGTATGTTATTAAATGTCTTTTAATAATTATTATATTATATTGGTATTTATTTGTGCCGGATATTTCCTCAATAATAAATTTTATAAATATATAATAGAGATGAGTGTCTATTATAGAGATAAAACGACAAATTTGTTATTTTATAATCGAATGTGAGAGCACACACACATACGTACCTGTATAAAATACACGTCCGCGCGTGAATAACTTTCCAATTTCCTTAAGCGGTGACGAGCGAGAGACTAGATATAATACTCGACGTCCAGTTCTCCAGTTTGCGCTACAGCGGTCCACCTCGACACACCTATACACACATATGTATATATAATAAATACACACAGACAAACATGCATACATGTATTTATTTATTGTCAAATGATGACGGTTTTATCCAAGTGTAAGTGTAAGTATAAGTATATAACCAGCATATGTGTACATGTCTGATACTATACCTGTCTATCTATAAGTATAAATGTAAATGTAAATTATATGGAAGTGTGTATGAGATCATGAATAATGTATATAAGCATTAAATTATTTAAGTATATACATATAATATATAAATAAGTATATATGTATGTATATGAGAGCGCCGCCCACTTTGATTTACTTTTAAGGTGTCATACGTGTGCTCGTGCGCGCGTTATATTATTACAGTGAATTGAATGCGTGGAGAAGAAATAAGTACGTGCACGCACAAGACGTCATCCAGGACACTTAATGATGCGCACGTACTAATTATATGACCATATTCCACAAGAGTAGCTACTGTATTTAAATTTAAATAATATCACGTGACCTTTTCAAGGACGTCGCCATTTTGTGTGTTAAAAACAGCGCGGGTGTCTAGTAAAATTAAGATCAACTACTTATACTTGCTACCATCTCTATATCTACCTGTCGCTTAAATTACATATTCATTATTACGGGTCTAACTTTGTTAATGATTATGATCATGATAATTATACACTGTTGATATTTAGAGTTAAGTATACTCTCGTCTCTCCATGCGATTTCGAAATGTCCGAAAATAAAAAATGGATTATAAATCCTGTTTATTTATATAACACCTGTGACTTTTTTTTTTTACCATAAACGATCAAATAATTATGCACACGGCAGTTAAATGTTTCAAGAACCGATATATTTATGGTAAAGGTCATAAACGGAATTAATTTTACTATATATGGCTACAAGTCGCGCTCAATTTTGTCATCGTTTTGAGAGAAACCGTTTCTCAAAAATAAAAAAATAATTATTGTATAAATGACTATTAATTAATTAATTAATTAATTAATTAAATTATAATTTTAGATTCAAATTAATATTGGTTTCTTCTATAGTAATAAAAAACGGTTGTATAACTTTTTTTTTATATAAAACACTAAAAAATCCATTGAGTATATGATTAGATAGTTTTATGAGCGAATTTTTGTTAAACAAACCGCGCACTCACACATAGACACTAAAATGTTAAAATTTTAATATAACCCCTTATTACTAAAAGGGATAAATAAAAATTTTAAATACCAACAAATAATCTTCAGCGAATCACACCATCCGAAACGGCTCTTTGGGCGCGACTGCGCGCTCGCTGGTTACTGGAGCCTTTGAAGAGATGTAGCGTATTGAGACCTTGGAGAACAGAATATATTCCCTTCTATTTTCCATGATGGAGCCTTTACTCTCTGTAGTCTTCATAATGGAATGGTGCTATCTCTCATATTTCTCACAATTGCACTTGATTCATTGGTAACGTAATATCAACCAAGTATTTAAATTACCGACTATTGTTACATGAGCTGAATAAATTTTATTTATTTCGCACCTTTGCAACCGCTGTTAAAATCATTACGTTGATTTTATTGTATTAAATTAAATTAAAAAAAAAATTTTTTTTATTAATTATGTATAAATATTTTTTCAGCTAATATAAATTAAACTAGTATTAATTATTTTTAATTATTGTGGCCAAAGATTTGTTTTATAGTAATTCAATACATCTCAAATTATCTTTAATTATTATTGACTTTATTATTCACGTTTACATTTATAATTGTTTAGAAAAAATATACTTAAGTTAATATCAACAGCATTAAAACTAAAATGCACATTAATAAAAAAATGAACTTGATTGAAGAGAAAAAAATCTTGAACCAAAAAATTTATTTTAAAGAAAAAATTCAATTAAATTCTTCAAAATAATTTTCTTGGTTGAAGATTTTTTCTCTCGAATAAAATTAATTTTTTTATCAGTGCAATATTTTGGCTTCAAGCCTATTACTGCAATATTTTTTATACACCAACATGCGTTACTAACTGCATTCACCAATCTATGCAAAAAATATATTTAATACACACAGCCTCAATTAATTACCGTTTAAGCGTTTGATTCAATCCGTTGAATTTAAGTTTGAAATTATATTTTGTCTTGTATCATACTCTGAATAAATATTTTTCTACAATAGCGCCATAATTTAAAACTATTTCATCTAGTCACACTTGATAAAAAGAACAATGCACTATTGATAAATAACTATGAGAGAAAAAATATATTGTTTTAAAGAGAAAACTTATATATGATCCTCTATATATTAAAAATAAGGATACTTCCTGGTAGTGATTATTATACATTATTAATTATACTCTTTTTCAATCTCTTTTTCATTTTTTTTATATCTATTCTGTACAATATAACAAATTAATATCAGTTATTTTTACATAAAATTAATATAACTTAATGTTAAATTAATTCACCCTTTTGTTTATTTTTTGAAGAATACCGTAGCTGTGACGAGGAGGATGAAGACGTTGAAGTCATAGGAGATGTCGTTGTATTAGTCGATAAGTTTTCAGCATTTTTATTAGCAGCGCTCGTATTATTAACGCTGTTGAATTTTTCAGACGAAGGTTGAAATTTCTTCTTTAGTACGTATACCACACACTCGTACGTGGCCATCATAATGGCCGTATTCGGAATTTGACGAACTAATTGAGTAGTCAATCCACGATAAAGTCCTCGAATGCTCTCTTCAGTGTATACTACATTCAGCGTTTGCCAAAAACCTCTGTACTTAGTACCCTCTTCCCTAAGCCGTGTTCTTATAACTTCTGTAGTTTAAAAAAAAAAAAAATTTGTAAATTATTTTGGACAGTAAAAAATTTATTTTTTTTGTTATTTAAAATTAATTTACCATGTGGATAAGCTATACATGATGCAACGGTTTTGGAAAAAGCGCCAGCTGCCATAAACTCTATAAAATCACGGGAAGTTTTCGATGATGCATTTTCTTCTTTAGAATTATTATTTTTAATTGAGTCTCGTACACGACGTTTTATTAACCAACTCTTAACAGCTTCATAAATTACAAAGTGAATTACGGTTTCACTTATTCCTACATAAGAAGCGACAATACCTTTGTAAAATCCAAGATAACCCTGTAAAAAAAAATTTATTTAAAATATGTCTCAGTATTATTAAAACACTGAGAAAAAAAAAAGTACTACTTTTGAGAAAATTTTATTGTCACAAGAATATATATTCTTGATAATTTTCAAGAATATATTTTCTTGTCTCAAGAATTGATCGAATTATTTTTTGTTTAATTCAAGTGAACCTTTTCGTTTGTTAATCTATAAAAATTAATGCCAACATTTTATTATCATAATAGATATTGATATTCTTTTGTCAAAAAATAAAAATTTATTTGAAACGATTCTTGAGCCAAGAAATTTTTTTCTGGACAAAAATTTTTTTTTTCTCAGTGAATATTTAGATTTATTTAAAATTTACCGATTGCCTGTATATTTTTCTAATACAATCGATAGCCGATGAACGGTTTTCTGCATTGTGACTATGATCTAGCTGAAGTCGAGTTTTGACGAACCAAATCGGATTAGTTGCCGTGCAAGCTACGAAACCTTTTAAACAATTAAAATTTTCAAAAAAATTAATTTAACAAAAATGCATAATCGTATAGTACAACGTGAGAACGATGACCACCACCACGACAATACATGTAAAAAATAAAATACTGACCAGCACAAGCTGCTGAAAAAACATGGACCATTGCACTGTCAGGAGCAGTCGGTAAATTTGAGTTAAAAAAACTCTTACTTTGGGAGTATGTACAAAAATATATAGCACGTGACGGTGCGACGCCCACTAGGTTTGGTCCAAGTCCTTTAAATAGTGCGCCAACTCCCTCGTACTTAACAATATATCGCAAACAATGTATAAGACCTGGTGAAGGCTGAGAGGGTGGTGAAGGAAGATGATTATGGTGGAGATGATGGTGGTGATGACGGTAGGGTTTTGATGGTGATGGTGTTTCATGATTTTTATGGCCATTAATAATAGCTAAGTGAGCTGAAGACACTGAGAGTGTCGTCGCACCAGTGGTTGTAGGAACTCTTATAAAATGTTTATACAATTCTCCAGAAAAATTCGATGGGAAAGTTGTAATAGCATACCTGTATAAATAATAATAAACACAGACTATTAGTAAATAAATAGATTTATTATTTATATAAGTAGAAAGTAGATTTTAATATTACCTAGAATACCTGCTGCCACTTGTAGTACTTAATCTTTTTATTTTTTGCTGTGGAGGTGATCCAAGGGCAATATTGTTGGACCATGAACGATGATGACGGTGATAGTGCTGCTGTTGCTGTGATTTTTTTTGAGGATGATTGTGATGAAGATGATGATAATGATAGTACTGTTGATGGTGTTGGTGGTACGGCGTGAATCTTGATGTGTTTTCTGAAATCTTAGACGATGTTACAGAGGAGGACAAGGAAGAGAGTTTTGATGAAGATGCCGAAGCCGGTGGAGATGGTGGCAATAAATAAAAACCTGAAGTTGATGATTGCAATCTTGTTTTTACAACTTCCAGTGGACATGTTACAATAGCTCCCACTGTACCAGCAGTTCTAGAAAAATTTAATTATTTTATTCACATTTTCCCGCAAAAGCAGACATGTTTGTCACATACTTATAATATAATGATAAGACGGTAATGCGCAAACTCCAAGCATGATAATACACGATATAAGATCATGCAAATAAATAAATAACCAAAACACACAAACTATACTACTAAATTAATTACGTGATGCGAGTTGATTTTAAAATTTAAATAAATGATATTAGAAATTATTTAAATGATAATAAAAAATGAATATTATAAAACCTACCCGCCAGCAACTAGATGAATTACGGTATCTCTTTGCGACATTGTCTTAGTTGTGTACTTGAGCGCACATTTAAGATTTATCCATATACGTATATACTTAGATTTTTTTTATACATACGTAAATATATATCTATATTTATTGTTATTAGATAATATGTTTATAACAATTGTACGCCGCAACTATTTATCTTGATAAACTATTATTATTATTGTTATTATTATGATAAATTTATTTGAGATGCGGTTTGATAAATATATTTATGTAACATTTGCAAAATGATAACATTTTACGCTGCACTTTAATAACACTCACTAATACATAAATATATATTTATACGGAATGTTAAACTGCCGCAATAATAAAAACACGTTAAGTGTGCGTGTGGTTGTTGAAATAAATAAAAAAAAAATTAGAGTGCAACACACCGCAAACTTAAACTGCGTATTCACACACTTGTCCTGTGTTTTCAATCTTCATGTATGTGTATACAAATAATTACACTTTCAATTGACATACTTATGTGTGTGAAGTATTTTTGGCATCAATATATAAGTACATAAGTTACATACATATATAAATAAAAGGCGGCAGCGGCACAATGACGACCAACAGCAAGATGCACGTATTATCGGCACATACAGTGCAAGCGCGAAAAATAAAAAATTACTCGCAAATACAAAATATTATTGTTGTTGTTATTATTATCATCATCATTACTCTGCCCATGATACTTCGTTTATACTAGTGTCGTCGAAACGTTCTAGAGCTCTACTTATTGCGTATATTTAGCAATCTTGTATTGCATATATATATAAGCACACCGATATGAGTTTTTTTTCTTACTACTTTATTTAAGTAACACAACAATGACAACTCTCTTACCGAGCGTAATTGAACTAATTATTTATTAATATATTCACAGTTATATAAATAACAAAAAATAAAGATATAAATACATGACTTTTAAATGAATCTGATAAACAATTATAAATAATAATAAAACAACAAACAAACGTCTGCTATTATTAGAACTTGGAACAAAAATAAATTAATGCAATGTTGATGATAATACTTAATGCGTAAATTAAATTGCATTCATTTGTTGGATTGGTCGTTGCCACTCTATTGAACAATTAACACCAAGTTGCCTTTTAATAATGTTTTTATCATTCATTTAATTATGTCATTTTATTAGACATTAATTATTGTTTATTTTTATTATTTATCAGTACTTTTTTCAGCTTATTTATAACAGAATGAATACACACACGCACCGGCTATTGTGTTATTAATTCTACTCACCAATCAGCTGATGTAATAGGTATATACCATTCTCATGCATATACTCATTCAGAAGTAATACTGGACTCAAAACCCGGTACCTAAGATCTATAATTAAGTAAAACTCATTTATTAAAAAATATACAGTCGCTTTACTTTTAATTTATTAAATAATTTGAGTAAATGATTGATATCTTTTTCTTCGCAGATGACTATATTTATCTACGTACATACTTTAAATTAAATACACAAACTACTTCCCAAAAACTAGAGTAATAAAACTATTTTATTGTACTTATAAATAATTTATTTTATTAAATTGAAAATTAAAATAATGACAAAGACTGGTGTTAATTTTTCGAGAAATTTTTTTTCAACTGTTTTTAAAATAATTACGATTAGTTTTTTTTTTTTTTTCTTATAATTTATACTTTATATTATAATTTAAGATTATCATGTTAACCAATTTTTGTCCTGCTTTACACGCATTAATTGATTTTGAAAATTCAGCGCAATATATACAGTGAACACAAAATGCATATGTTACGCTGCTAATAACATCAATTTTATGTTTATAAATGATAAATAAAAATTTTTTCTTTATATATAAATAGATAGAAAAGTATTAAAATTATTTATCTATGTGGAATGATAAAAAAAAAAAAAAATAAGACAAAAAAAACGATAGATACACTTTACATCTGTGTGCAGTGAAAATTTATCCAATAGTTTACTTTGAAATTTTTAATCAACAAAACACAAATTAAAACTGTACTGTTTACAGATAATTTTTAAGTTACCATAAATAATTATGTTGTTAAGCGTGTGTACTTAAACTTTAATTCCTTATCCTCTGTACTTAATTTCTTGTGTAATAATATTAAAAAGATGGTAAAAATGAATCATATTTATTTTTTAAAGTTGCGCCCTAGAAACAAAAAAGATAAATATTTAGTGAACATTATTTTTGCAGATGAATTGATTTATAGTATAAAAGAAGAAACTTACTCTTGTGGGGCCATTGCTCTGGCTTGTGCTCTGACACGTTTTTCGTATTCCAAACGGTTTTGACTGAAATTAATAAGACAAAGTTTGTTAAAAAAAAACGGTCTCTGATATTGCAGAATAATTTCTTAGCTCAAGAAATTTTCTTGATTCAAGAAAAATTCAAGAGTTCAAGAGTTTGGCTCTTGAGTCAAGTCAATTTTTTTTATCAGTGTATAAGTACCTTTTAAATAAATAAAAATAAAAAAAAAAAAAAACGCTCTAACATTTAGATTATTTATAAATCTATTTCCTAGCAGAGCGTTTTTTTTTTAAATTTCCATTTGGTAATTATAGTAAATATTACTTACCAATAAATTGTGTAAGCTTCTGCTTGGGCTGGATCTTTAACGTTGGGCTCATTCAATAAGTCCTGAATACCTAAAAGAATTTGCTTGATAGTGATTGCAGGTCGCCAATCTTTTTCCTCGTCCAATAGCGAGAGACACACAGTTCCTGAGGGGTAAACGTTTGGGTGGAAGAGTGGAGGCTCAAATTTGCATTTTGGCGGACTTGAAGGATAGTCATCTTTGAAAATCATTCTCAATTTGTAAAGGCCACCTTCCCAGGGAGTCTGTTAAAATAAAAAAAAAAAAAAATTAATTAGTTTTATATTTAGATACATTAGAGGTGATTAAAATATGAATTACTTTTATATTTATTTACAAATCTTGCAGATTTTTATGAAATTGAAAAAACCAACTACTTGTACTGATATCTGTTTAATTTTAAGTACAAGCAATGCTGGTTAGACTAAACTATTTACAACTTTTTAGAAAAAAAGAATGAATGGGGTAAAAGACCCCATTAGTGGCGGGGACCCCATTGCTGACACTTTCTTTGATTTTGGTACTTATTTAATTAATGAAATCATTAATTTCGATAATGAATATATTATTTATTAAATGTCTGGAGCCAACCAGAACTAGATAGTTTCAGACGAATAGCGAAAATACCCTTGTATTATAAAACTTATAATAAAATAGAAAGTAATAGTATATTTTTTATCAAACATTATTCGTAAATTGAATAGTTTTCTTTTGTCATTCGTATTTATGTTTAATAACAGAATTATAATATGTCAGTACAGTTAACGGTTAGAATGACAATTATAAAGGTATAAAATAAACAGACAATTGATAGGATTGAAAATAAAGCTGCAACTTTATCACGCGGGCAGAAATTCGTCATTTTCTGTCCGCCGGGAAGGAATGATTGATTCCTGCCCGGCACAGTCGCATTGGTCTGAAATTGTCTAGTTTCGGTTGGCTCAACAGGCATTGAAACTCGCATTTTCAATGCAGGTTATATGAAAAATACAATTATTGTATTCGGCTTGTAAAATTTATCTCAAGGTACAACAAACAAAAAGGATCTGATTGGACCCGAAGTTTAAAAATTTTCTTTTTTGCTCGACGGGCAGAAAGGGTAAAATTTCGGCCCGCTGCGCTAAACGAAATTGCCACTTTCTGCCTTCGTCGAGCAAAAAAATAGCATACACTCCTCGGGAAGTAAATAAGAAAGCCTCAGATCACATGTGATCTGAGACATTTCTTACTTTACTTCCCTCGGTGTGTAATATACTATTTCAGATCCAATTGTCTGCTTTTATTCGTTCTACTACGGGGTAAATTTTAGAAGCAGAATACGATGCTAGTAATTAATATGCTAGTTATTAATATTTAAAACACAAAAATACTGTCCCAAGCGTCTTAAGAAAAAAAAAAAAAAAATGTTGACTTTTTGGTAAATTTTATTTAACAAGTCAAAAGTTAATATAAAAATTATATAGTATAGAAATAAAGCTTTAATTAATAAACCAACAATTTATATTTACCGATTTTTTTCCAGGAATAGCGCATTCCCAACTCATCAAATTAAGTGAACCATCAGCATTTTTGGTTGGCCTTGCTACGAAGCCCTGCAAAGTGAAAAAATAACATCAATTAAACAGGTGTCCAAACCTGTTGATGGGAATAATATAAAATAAAAAAAAAAAAAATATAACAAATGCATCGACGATTAACTTACAAATGGATGGTCTTTTCTCCAAGCCTTTCGTTCTTCTGCAAGTCGTGCACTAGCAATTCCTGACATTGTATCCTTGATCTACAGCGCTGATCTAAAAACAAATAAAAAAAATTTGTTATTACTTATATACAGACTTTGGATTGACTATTACAACACATTTTCATGTTTAATAATTAAATATCAAAAGATAATTTTAAAGAAAGGAAAAAATTTTAACCTCAATTTCGGATCTTACTCTACACACAAACAAACAGTATAACTATGTGAGAGAACTCTGCGGCAGTTGCCGTTTAATAAACACAATATTAGATATTGAGAAATAGTGTTTTTACACACAATAAAATTATTACGCTAAAATTGATTATTAATTACGGTAATAGCAGATATTTACTTTGTTTCAGTGGTTATGATTCACTAAATAGTTGATCTAACAATGCTGAGATTTTTAAGAAACGCGCAAATGAAGCATTAAAGGAAGTTAGGCATTAATTTACGCCATGCAGCTGACAATCATCCTATATCTATTGTTAAGTCCAAACTTGTGTTTTATCTTGCAATGATAGGTGGCACTATGTCGTGAATTCTTACTTGAATTGGCGGGATCTTTTGATTCACATGATTCACTTATTACTACAAAAATTGATAATATTTCATGTAAAGAAATATTTTAAATGGATAATCTAAAGATTTTAATGTTTTACAAACAAATAAAGATCATTTTTAATTCTTAGATTGATGAGTGCTCTTGTATTGCTAATTGATCAAATTATTGAAATGGAACAACTAATTGATTTCGGGTGTAATTTGTCCGCCATCTTGGATAAAAATGCTTACACAAGATGGAGGAAAAAAATGGACGATATATCTTCTTTCCTATCGACGGCATTTAAAATATCATAATGAAATCAGCAGACGTTTAAAATCTTTTGGATTTTTTTTCAAAAATTAAATTAAGGTAATTCTTTGCCAACTTATAGTTTATGCTACTGCTGTCTTTTTCATTCGCTAGTGTCGCCTCTCTTATGGGCTATCGCTCACTTACTTCCACGCATGACTTTATTTGTTTACTTAATTTACTTTACTAGTTTATCAATGATTTCTCAAAAAGTATGTGGTAGGGAATTCCAGAATTTTGTAGGGTCATTACACATGTATTAATCTAAGTAATATTATTTTTTCGTGAAATTCTTAAAATTTCTTCAATACAAAAATAATAAAACTTCGCGGTTTTCTCTCTCTTTTCCCATACCGCCTGTGTAAAAATCTCATTTTCAATTGCAATTATCTTCGGTTAGACGTGGTAAATCGTCTCTAAATTTTAACAACGTGCGTATTATGTATTTAAATACTTCTATACAGAGTTAGGGAGATTTCTTGAATTTTTGTTTTTTGGGCCCAACTACCTTAAGACTAAAAAAAGGTTAGAAAATCCAACAGTGCACGCCTCATAATCTCATTTTTCACAATAAAATTGATCAAAATAAATATGATAAAAAGCAAAATAATAAAAAACAGATAACTTTGATATGGTTAGTGGCGCCATAACTCTGAGGTGAGGAAAAAAAATACTAATAATAAAATGTATAGATATAGATATCGATATATGTACAATAAAATCCACAGTCATAAATTAGTTTTTTATAAATAATAATTTACCGACAGTGAATTGAACGCTCATATTAATTAAAAAAAATCAGTCGTGTGTTACTTTAGATAATAAAAAAAAAAATTATTTCGGTACGATCATTTTTTCGACCAATTTCCCTGCCACATACACCCATACATACACGGACGTCCAGAAAAGATTATGTTTAATGTTATTATTTACTATGTTAAACAAAAAAATTGTTATTGAAATAAATTTTATGTGCCTGACAAATTATTTGACTTGATATAAATGTACTCATATTAATCTGTAAGTGCGATACAAATAACAAAAAATCAATTTCAGTTTCGAGAAAACTGCTTTTTTTGAAATGTTGAGAGTAGAGCACAACCTCAACGCTTCGCTTATAAGGCGTGCAAAAAAATTGCGCTCATATTTTTTCAAATCTTCTACACGTGGAATTTTCGTTTTCACTTTCTTTTGTTTAATAAGAAAACCCTTATTAAAAAAAAAAAGATTTATAACAATTCAACCCATGCAAAATGTATATCTATATATTTGTCAAGTTGAATATCTTTTTTAATCGCTTTGATGAGCCGTTTCGAATCTTTTCAAATCTCTTTTTCTAATCAGGGAAATCCTAAAAATTTTCAGATGTCTGTTAATTTAATTTTTATATTTAAAAGAGGTTAAAAACTTACAGTCGATTGTATTTTTTATATAAATTATAAATGTTAACGGACAAGAAATTATTGATGCAATAGCAACAAACAACATAAAATAATACTGCTTAGTCCAGTAGTAGTATTTGAGACAAACTACGTGCTATTTACCAAATAATTTGTCAAGTTGGATGCGTTAGTGTCCGTACGTTAATAATTTTTAATTTTTTCGGTCATCTGAAATCAGTGCAATATTAATTAACAATTTGTTTATTTAAATATATTTGAAAGTAATTGGATAAGTTTTATAAAATAAAAATTACTTGATAATGATAATAAAAACAAATAGAAAATTTATCTATGTAATCTTTTTATGTAATATTGAATCAATTATTACCTAATGAACTCGATGAACTCGATGAACTCGATGACTCACAAATGAAAAAAATTAATGAATTGCTTTTGAACACAGCCAAATAAATTATTCGAACGTACTCTCGAAAAGGGAGGGTGCGGTAATTGACGCATGCGTATCTCCAGAAGAAGTTTATTGCTGGTAGTGCTCTGGTAGAGAGTGCGGCAAGTATATTTGTCTCTGTCTATTGCACCGAATATAGGATGTGTAAGTGTAAGTATAGTTATATGTCTAACTGTACCTACAGAAAGAGAGACTTTAATTCAGTATTTAGTCTATATACGTATCGTTGAGACTATACTTGGTAACTTTATCGCTCTGTGGTGCTCTTATCCTGTGTGCCCTTGATACTCATTTAATTTATTTAATAATATTTATTCAATTGTGTTTTATTTTACTGCGTTTATAGTTAGGTTAATACCACTGTATTTTTGCAGACACACCGATAATCGGTTTTATATTTCAGACTGTTCAATACATCAGATAAATATATATATAAATACATGTATATATAGATATATGTGTATATATTTTTTTAATATATTGTTGAGAGAAGGAATTATATTTTCATATAAAGAAGAAGAAAAAAAAGACTATTATATCTCCTGGCCAATAGTGATGATGATTAATATTGATGACGACAATACAGTAAAGTATTCTTTATAAATCAAACAATTATTCTTACTTCCGAAAGTGTCACAGTGAGTGATAAAAAAAAACAACGGTTGATTTAATTCTATGTTTGTGCAGAGTGTGTGGGTGCGTGAGTGTTAACTATACGTGATGATGTCAGTAACACATTACATGTAAAATTTTCGAGGAACATTAAGCATGTTTAATAATAATTTTCATGATTATTATCAATAATATATTTATGCGCAAAAGCATATTTTAAAGCGTATAATTTATCAGAGAATATATAGTATAGTATATGTATATTCTTAGTTTTTTGGCTATTTATTGAGGAATGAAAAACAAGTAGAAATAATTATTAAATTGATCATCGGGCACCAATGAGCTTAGTTATAATAATAACACTGGAATCTATTTGGTGTGGAGATTTTTTTGTATCCAAAAAAGTGTAATGCCTGGGAGTCGCTCTAGTACCGCTGCTGATCCAGATCATAAATCACCGCGAGAAAGTGGTGAAGATTCTGAAGATGAGAGTGAAATTTTGGAAGAAAGTCCCTGCGGGCGGTGGCTGAAACGTAGAGAAGAGGTAAATTATACTTATACATTACCATTTTATTCATCACCTTTTTTTTTTATCTTGATTTTATTTGTACTGCATAAATTTTGTACTTTTTTTTTTTTTTATTATTTTGGTCTATGAAATTATTTTATTTGTCGTCCTTGTATTGAAAAAGTCTAAATTTTTGTGATATTCATAGAAAACAAACAAAAAAAAAAAAGAAATTTAAATACATACATTTAATAATAGCCATATATGTTAATTTATAACGTGTGTTTGTGTGTGCGTGTGTGCGAGTATAGGTTTACGTAGGTTCCAAATCTGCTGCAGCCGGTGCTGAAGGTACGAATTTTGTTGGACAAGGTATGTCAAGAGGATTCGAGAGAAAATTTTCTGAGTTAGAGGTAATTCATTATCATTTAACAGACAATTAACTGACTGTCAATAGTTATAGATTTTATAATTTTAATTTTAATACCAATAGTAAACAATAATTACCTATCATGTTCAATTAAATTAAATCAATTCCAGCAGTATCGTGCAAGTAAAAAACACTTTTTCTGCGTGTGCAGGTGGGACAGCGTGATGTTCCGGGAATTGACTGTGCTTATTTGGCAATGGATACCGAGGAAGGTGTTGAAGTTGTTTGGAATGAAGTCCAATTTTCAGAACGCAAAGATTTTAAAGCACAAGAAGAAAAAATTCAACTAGTCTTTGAAAATTTAATACAGCTAGAACATCCGAGTATTGTCAAATTTCATAGGTATTGGACTGATACTCACAATGACAAGCCACGGGTATGCTTCAATCGTTTATTTTTTTTACTTGTTGGTGTCGTAGCCATAAAATTTTCTTCATCCTTCCGGTTTACTTTTACAGGTCATATTCATCACTGAGTACATGTCATCTGGGTCGTTGAAACAATTTCTCAAACGCACAAAACGTAATGTGAAGAAACTACCGTTACAAGCATGGAAACGATGGTGTACACAAATTTTATCAGCATTAAGGTAAATAAAAAGTTTGGAAAATCCAAAAGTGGACGACCCATAATGCTCATTTAATTATGAAATATTAAAAAAATAAAATAAAACATAAATCGTTCAAAATTAGTTGCCGAAAAAACAGCTGTACTAGGAAGGTGATGCACAAGCACCCTCGGTGAAATAAATGTACATAATATGTATAGATATATTACTATCCATGTAAATTTTATATGGGTATATATATAGATATATAGTCTTCTGGCTTTTGTATTTTGTTAATTGTACATGAATGACACTGAATTACCTAACCATTCGCATTCGGTGAACTACAATTCTCCTAAAGAATTAAAAAAAAAAAAAAAAAAAAAAAAAAACTTAGCTTAATTGATGCATTTTTTCGCAAGTTATAGTGTTTTCAGAGTTTCATACATGACGGGCAGGAAATTTTTTTGACCTATTTTGATACTTTTTTCCGTTTCTAGCGCACTAACTCAATTTTTTAAAAGTGTTAAATTAATCTCCATTAAATTATCTTGACAATAGCATGCAAAATATCTTGATTCCGTGAACTAACAAGACTATAATAATGAAAATAGTTGCCGAAATAAGGCGAAAAAAAATTTTCGATCGTAAAGCACTCTCTGATGCTTCGCATCATGAGTCGTGCAATATATACTTTTGAAATTTTAAAGAAGAAAAATCAATGATAATAATTTTACTTGATGAAATTTTTTCCATCCAGCTATTTACATTCTTGTTCGCCACCGATTGTTCATGGAAATCTTACTTGTGATACTATATTTATTCAGCACAATGGTCTAGTGAAAATTGGCTCAGGTATTCATTGTGATAAAAAAAAAAATAAATTAATATTTTAATAAATAATTAAATATCCTGTAATTAATATTTTTTTATCTCAGTTGCTCCAGACGCAATTCATCACGATGGACGAACTTGTAGAACAAATGTAAAAAATATGCACTTTGTCGCACCAGAATATGGCAGTAAGCAAATAGCTTAATAAATATTTAAACTAACCTTAGTTGAGAATAATTAAGTTTTTTTTTTTTTTTCTATTTAATAATTTGTTACTTTAATATAGATTTACTGACACCGGCAATTGACATTTATGCTTTTGGAGTTTGTGCTCTCGAAATGGCTGCGTTGGAGATTCACGGTAACGGAGACAGTGGCAGTCCTGTTACCGATGAAAATATACAAAAAACAATCGAATCACTGGATGACCCTCTACAAAAAGATTTTATTAGAAAATGTCTTCAATCAGAGCCGCTTAGTAGACCAAGCGCCAGAGAATTATTATTTCATCCAATATTATTCGAAGTTCCCTCGCTCAAGTTGCTTGCTGCTCATGCTCTAGTGTCGTCTGCCAGTGAGTCAACTAATAATTAATACTTTATGCAAAAGTTTTTCTGACAACCTTTTCTACTTTTTCTATTTTATTTCTAGCAAATATATCTGAAACAATAACAGACCAGGTCCTGCAAAGATTATACGGACCAGATACGGTCGTAGCTGAAATAAGATATCAAAATCAATTATCACCCTCCGTTGCCATATCATCTAAGTCATCCTCATCGTCATCTTCGTCTTCGTCATCATCACAACCTCCTCTCCAGCAAATTCGACTAAGTGACATTTCTGTCACTGAAAAATTAGAAAAATTCGTCGAAGATGTTAAGTGAGTTACTTAATGACGATGTTGATGATAATTTTATAAATTTCGTAAATTTTATTCACAGATACGGAATTTATCCGTTGACTACATGCATGGCTAGACTACCTCCACCTTCAGCCGTTCGACCACGAGCAATATCACCTGAGATAACCGAATCGGTTAAGTCTGTTACACCTGAACCACTCACTCCAGAAGCTCGTAGAATTGTTCATATGATGTGTAATGTTAAGCCTAGCGGCGGTGGTTGTGATAATTTAGAATTAAATGTAATTATCCTGGCGTAGTTAAGATTATTCTACTGCAAACATATGGGTGATTCTCTGTAAGGATGTCTTAAATCTGTACAAAATTGTCCAACCAAATTATTTTTGATTTTATTAGAAAAAAAATTAACAAACTAGGGCTACAAAACTATCAGCTTAAATCACATAATAAATAACACAGCCGATTTAATTTTTGCTTTTTCGATATTTGTGTATCTTTTGCCATGTAACATGACAGGGGACTGTTTTTTTTTTTTAAATTTATAGCAAAAAAACCAAAATTTATTTCATTTTAGTTTTCAATGCTCTAAAAGTTTTTGGAGAAATGTTGTTTACTTTCGTAATAAATTTGTTTTAGTAACTAAATAACAATTTTTCTAATAAAAAAAATGCCTGGGACAGCAAAAAACATCCTTACAGAGAATCACTCATATAGAGTTATTGCTAATTTTTCTGTATTTATGTACAGATGACAATATTATTGAGAATGGATGATAAAATGAATCGTCAGTTGACATGTCCTGTTACTGAAACAGACACACCGCTTATACTAGCACAAGATCTTGTTGATAATGCATTTATTAATGAGGTAATACATATTATTTATATTTTAAATAAAATAATATTGATTTTTATACAATATATATGTATACTTGCAGAGTGATCGAGATGCGTTGGCTCGTTTGATGGAAGAAACCATAAGAAGTTTTTATAACAAACAAAAAATGAGGCCAGCAATGGTATCTTTAACTAATTTGCCTACATCATTATTGCTACCCGAATCAGAGCTACCCCGCATACAAGATTTGGAAACTTTGAACCACAATGCCTCCTTGACATCACCACCATCATCAGTATCCTTAAATACAACAGTATTGAGCAATGACGTTAACAAAATGTTACCAAATGATTCTACTAATTCTGCAGTAACAACAGCTACGATGAATTCAGAAGCAATATCATCCGCTTCATCATCTTCGTCATCGTCTTCATCTTCATCGATGATACCCTCCAATAGCTGCAGTAATGCTGACGCTCCTTCAGATTTGGGGGTCAATGCTAATAATAATGAATCAAGCAGCTCCAGTTAACCAAAATAGTTATACGCATACACACAATATTCTGTGCCACGAGCACAAATATATAGACTGTATTTTTTATATATACATATAAGATGTAACGTGACCTTTTTTTCTTCCTCCCTTTGTATATACACATAATGAAACATATACATACATACTTTATATATTTAAAAAATTTTGAATAATTATTTAAAAATTACATATTAATTAAAATTAACGCATCAGTGTGTATGTATATATTACAATGGTATATTATTTATTAATTTAGAGAAGAAAAAAAAAAGTATGTACATTAAAAATTAATTTTTTTAACTTCTACAGCTATATTTTTTTGCCGCGAAAGAACGAATTTGAGTCATAAAATGCAACAATTTCGAATAATAATAATATAACGCTACTATTTATAGAAAAAATATAACTAAGTCTTGGGAATGACGTATATTGTGAGTGTATATTAAAATTTGTACATATTTTATGTATTTGTTCGATTAAACCAACTCTACTAAATAATTTAATTCAAAAGTTTATCATTTATACTTATTTTAAAACAAGATTAATCATAATTTAATATTTAATACTAGTCCATTATGCTAGTATCAGATTTTTAAATATACAATAATACAAATCAATAGCACACGAAATTACAATTAAAAAAAAAAATTACATACCTGGTAACCCGAAATGTTTGCAAAATGTCAAACTGTTGAGGAGAATCCGAGACAATTATAGTAATAAAAAAAATAATTTATAATTTATTTATTTTTTATTGACTATAAGAAATAATTGTAAAATAGTACGTATATATGCGATGTAATATTAAAGAACTACTTTTTGATGTTATTACCTAATAGTATGTTTTTAATTTGGCATCAAATGCAAGAAAATAACGTTTTATTTTATTTTGTTTTCTAGTACTTGAAAAAGACACTAAAATAAATTAGTTACAGTTATACATAACTATTTTTCGTCACACGAAAAAATTATTAAATTCATCAACTAAATATAAACCAATCACAGCATATTGTGGACGACATTATTTTATTATGGTGTAATCTCTTGGCTATGAAAGACGTATTTTTCTTGCATTAATTGGAAAAATGTAATTTAAAAAATTGAAGTTTTCACACTCATTCACACACGACTCTCAAATTTTAAATTTTAAATATATAAAATTGCTTAAGATTTGAAATAAATAAATCATTGATAGTTTGAGCTCATCGATTCAATAAGTAATCCAGATCGTGTGATATCCGATCAAGCATACCTACTCCTGTAATAGTGTTTGATGTGGTGTTATCACAATCTGTAATTGTTATCTCAGGGTTTTCTTCTTCTATAATACTGGTGGATCGTATACGTTTTTGTTGTTGCTGTTCACTAGTGCTGGCTATGTCAGGGACATTTACGGTATAATCATCTACACATTTTTCTTCAACTAAGTTGTCGACGGAAGACGATGTTGCTGTTGTTGCAGCCGCTAAAGTAACATCTGGCATCATCATTGTCATGTTTATTCTCGATTCGATATCCGCATTACACAAAACTTTGGCTATGCACTCTGACGAGCGATCGGCTTGCTGAGTGTTACTTCGACGGCGATCAATACTATCGCCTGCAATAACTAATTGATCACCGCTAAAACTTGTAGTATTATCATTTTCCCGGTTGTATGATGAATCAGTATGATAAAATTCTGGCGGTGGCGGTGGCATTGACGATGGAATACTATGAAATGTATTTGTGAGAGATTCTTGATATTTACGAGGGCTCGTACTATAAGTTTCAAGGTTTATGTTATCCGAATAATTTACTCGAATTTCAGGAAGAAAGATATCACGGCGAATTGTTGATGATGCCGGATGTCCAGGGTTGTTGGAGAATTGTTCATCATTCATTTCATTTGCATGTTGTACATTGCCAGCAGTTACTACTCCTCGTGTTCTCATGTATGTTGTTGGTGGTAAACGAAAGACACCTGCTCCAGTAGAAGCTGATGCTACCGGAATACTTTCAGCGCTTTCGACCGGAATTTTAGTATGAACTAAAAATAATAAATTTTTTATTAATAACTTAATGACAAAAAGCATTTCAATTAATAAATCATTACTAATGTTGCGTGTGAAAAGGTAAAAGGGCACATTGCACACAAAAAAAAATCGTTTTTGCAATTTTTTTTTAAATCGCTCAAAACATAAAGATCTGTTGAAAAAAAAATCAATCATACTAAAGCCAAAAAAGCGTATAAAAAAATTTAATTTTTATTACAAAATGTTGACAAATAGTTTCACAAGACAAGTTAGATCCAAAAAAAAAAACCTCTAGTATATAAAGCTCATTTATTATAAAAAGGAGAAAAATGAAAATAATTATTTATTTTTGCAGTTACTCAGTTTCTGAATATAAAATTCAAATGACTAAAATTTTTTTGATCTACCACACATGTTTTTTTTTTTTTTTTTTTATCAAAATTCATTAAAAATTAAATAATAAAAAAAAAAAAAAAAAAATCAAATTTTCATACAAAAAGATTTTTTTTTATAAAAATCATAAAAAAACCGAAATTTACTGATTTTTTTCTTTAATTATTGTCTTGAATTATGGATAAGTCATAAATCAGAATTATTTATTTTTTTTTAATTAAAAAATATTCATTTTTTGATTTTTTATATATTTTGTAATTTTTTTTTAAATATTTATAATTTTAATTTTGAAAAAGCGTATAATTAGAATATGCCCCTTTGACTGCATCATTTTTTATTTCATTTTCAGACTTTAGATTAGCATTTTAATAAATTGTTCAGAAAAAAAATTTATAGGCCGTTTTAGCTTCAGGTTATAAAATTTTCAAGTTCCTAAAGCTAAAAGGGTGCATAATTAAAGACATAAAGTAAAAGAACCCATTAGTGGCACTCTTCTTTTCAATAAAAAAATGTTTTACTTGGAATAAAAATTAAAAATTTTTTTTATCTAAATGTCTCAAAGATTAGAAATAATATATTCATTATTGAAATTAATGATTTCATTAATTGAATAAGTATCAAAATTAAATCAAGTGTCAGTAATAGGGTCTTTTACCCTAGGCCTTTTTAGCTTTGGGAAATTAATATTTGATTTTTATGCGTATAATATATCTACTAGTCGATTGGTGATAAAAAAAAAATTATGTGCCCTTTTAACTTTTGGCACACGAAATACCTTTGACAGTATCTGAAAAAGTTATCATCGTTGTAGTAGTTGTCATTTCTTTTTCATCATTTTTTCGACATATAACTTGTTGGAAAATTGGAGCCAACAATTCAACCTCTGGACTTCCGATATTCAAAATTAACATTCCAAAACCCTGTTAAAATAATTAATCCTTTAATAATAATTCAATTGATTATAAATTATAATATCTGCACTACAAAAAAAAAAAAGAAACTTACAAAAAACGCTGATACGGATGCAAAAAGATAATGATAAAATTCAGTTGTGTAATTGATGTAAAACATAGAAGCTACTTCCACAAGAATAAGATTACATATTATTATTGCAGCGTGATGAATTATCCTGACTCTCTGTTGAAGAAATTTATTTTTCATGACGACGATTCCACCGCCACCACTGACATTTTCCACGTTTTCAGTCAACACGTGAGCACGATGTAAGACTCCAGTGTAAAGTAACATGAATATCAGAAGCATTGTTGCAACACAACTGACAAAAATACTATACACTCCACCACCAAAAATCAACCACCACGATTCATGTCGTCTGCCTGTGCTAGTATTGTGAGTCAGCTCCGTGGTCAAAATACACAAAATAGGTAAACCTGTGATAACTCCAATAACTGTCGGTTGAAAATGTCGGCTTAATTGTCGACGACGGTTATACGTAATATCTGCATAGACAATCAAAGCTTGTGATATCGGAGCAGCCATTCCTATCAGTAAAAAGGCTTCTAAAGTCACAGCAGTTCTTGCATACTCTATCTAAAAAATAATTCCAAGTACAGTAATCTATACGCATACATCCAAAAGTGACATAGTATTATAATTTATAATTATATTGCCTACTTCTGGTACAGTATTGCAAGTTGCATATACAAAGATAGACATTGCACCAATAAGGGCGCTCGAAGTTTGTAATTTCAGAAAATTCAACCATGTAGGCCGTTTCCAAAGTATAACGCTTAAAATAATTGAAGACATAGTACACTGAAGTAAACAACTGCTGCATCCTAACAATACTATGAACGTCGATGGTTTACTTTTTGCATCAACTACCTGTAATATATGTTTGAAATTAATATAATTAAGAGTTGATCATTAAATGTGTAAATAAATATTGCGTACTTTGACAGCACGTGTTGTAAGAAAAACTGCAAATGTTCCTGGATTTGAACATATGCACTGAGTTTCAGCCTGATTATTGCTAGCTATCAAAGTAATGCAAGAATCTAGATCCCAAGAACCAGTTGATAAGTCTTCAACGCCACAAGATACGTTCCATCGCTTCAATAGTGATTGGTTTTGTTGCAAGTGACCCAGTGTCAGGACAATCTCTACTTTAGATGTTGATATATCAATATTTCGTTTTTTGTTTGATGATTCTTGTCCGACAATTGTAACACTTATAACACGCGAATTAAAATGATACTCGAGATCAGTACCATCCCTAAATAAAAATTATAATTGTAAATTTATTAATTAGTTTATCCGTGGATAAAAAGTTTCTGCTATATACTAACTCTAATTCTTTAACGAATGCATTTGGTAAAAAACTAGTAATATTTCTGTAAAGAATAACTGCTCCATTTAGTAGAGATGTTTGATTTGTGAATAATTTAGACTCATCACTTCGTCTTCCTCGGCTTTGTTTTATTATTCTAATTTCTACTTTGTCATTGTACCAATATGGATATCTAAAAGAAAACTTTTATGTAAAAATGTAAGGGGATGTATTTTTTGACATATAATTCTTACGTATAGTCTTCTGTAGGAATTTGAAAGAGAAACTTTGTTTCTGTTATTAAAGTTGAAAGAACGGTAACAACGTAGAACGGTTGAATGTCTATCACCATTGAAGATAAAGCTAAATGTGTTGGCTGTGTTGTTTTCTTTGCCCAATTTTGTACATTGCGCTGAATAAGTTGCTGCATCAGTAATTGACGACGGAGAATAGAATTTTCATTAACAAGTATTCGGTTTATTATGTGCATAAATGTCTCTGCTGATTCATGCATATTCGTGATTTGCTTCTTATTTATAGAGTAATGCTCGATTTCAGCCAGAATATTTATAATGCCATCACCCTCTCCAGGATACAGAGCCAGCTCGCGTGAATTCAAAATTTTCCACATGCTGATAATAGTATTATGAGTACTAGTATTTTGATAACCCAAAGTTAAACTGCGAAACTACAAATAAAAAGTAAAATATTATTTTAAATTGATAGTGAAACATTTCGCGTTACTAATGCCAAAAGGTCCTAACTCAAAATATATGGCCTTTTGGCCCTGCAAAACCAAAATAGCGTATAAAACAATTTTTAGATTTCATAGAAATCTAACTACTGCATTGGTCCTCATTACGAAACCTTGAAAAATTTTGCTATATGTCGCCTTAATAGCTCGTCAAGCGGATTCAGAAAATACATATGGTTCTGTTATATCCAGCATACCGTATATTAACATGCAAGGCCTCCCGTTCCCGTCGAAAAGTGCAGCGCTTGCATATTTAGGGAATAGGGAATAGTGACCTGGACTGCGCGACGGCTCACTCATGGCAGAAGAATACACATTACCGCGCATTGTCACGTCATCAAAAGTAACCAATTGCTTAATTAGTAGCCCCCTCTGAAAACCGTAACCGAGATGATAAAAACCGCGAACACCATAAATCGTGAGCTCACATACAAGGTAACAGTTCGGCCTTAGAGCATTACGTGTATAAGCGGACTTCAATTATTAAATTAATTAGCCACCTATCCTTTTTCATTCAATTTCGAGTTCCTTATCGGTATTTCCGAGTTCTGTGATTGTGATTCTTTGAGCCACGATAATCGAGAGTCCCACACACTGATAGAAAAACAATCTTGATTCAAGAAACTTTTTTTTTTCAAAACTTCCAAAATAAATTCTTAGATCAAGAAAATATCTCTTGAGTCAACATAAATTTTCTATCAGTGCACAGTTCCGGTGACCTGGTCTCATTCAAAATTTAATTGTTATTTGTGTAATATTAACGGCAAACTTTTGTTTGCCGGAGTCGTTACTCCGGTCTCGAACTCATTAAAACTATTATTTTCTATTATTATCATTAATAAGTGATAAGTGTAAATTAAGACGTGTTTGCCCTATAGGGCCTTTAAATTGAAAATATATATAAAAGTTCGAACTGAAGTGTTTATCATTTATAAACTATAAGATTCCATTCAACCTTCAACCTCCAATCCAGAAGGAGGAAGAAAGTCAAGCCAAAACAATCAAAGCATATCTCATCGTTGGAGTCAAGATTTGAAATACTAAGTGAAGGCTATTATTATTATTATTTCCGAGGTCAATTGTCAAATATACGTAAATTGCATCTGAAAGCTTATTAAGTGAGCTTTAATTTGCATACTGATATATTTTTTTTAATTAAAGTTTAGGAATGACAGAAATTTCAATTCTTTAAAATCCTCAAAAATTGGCACTTTTACTGTTTCTTTGCGAAATAACTATTTAATGTAATGATAACTTGTAAAATTTTTGTTAATTGCATCTGAAAGCTTATTAAATAATCTTTAATTTGCATACCTAACCATCAGTCTAGGCCAAAAATTGCTTTCCCTGTCTATTTAATAGAATTTTACTCTTGCATTCGTTTTTGAAATTATTATTTTAGTAGTTGTTGGATTCACTATGAAATCTACTTCCATTTCGGCTGGAAAATGGTCTTTTTTTCTTTTCAATCATCTTAGGAATGTAAAAAAGTCAAAATCTGGTTAAAAAACGTAAAAAAAATTTCTTCTTTTGACATAAGCTCTTTTGGTTGTAAGAAAAAAAATTTTAAAAACCGAAAGAGTGTATATAGAAAAATAATCAAAATAAATTCTAAGGACCTCAAAATGTCGAGATTTTATAAAAAATTGATTTTTTGAAATTGAACTGAAAACACTATCACAGCCGAATATTTTAAAGTTTTCCTTTTTTTAACGTGAAGTTAAAATACGAAAAATTGGAAAAAAAATTTCAGTCCGACTTCAAAAAATTTATTTTGTATGAAATCTCGACATTTTGAGCTCCTTAGAAGCTATTTTCACTATTTTTTCATGTACACCCTTTTGGTTTTAAAAAATTTGCATTTTAAAACCAAAAAGGCGTAAATAAAAAAAAAAAAAATTTTTGGCATATTTTTTAACCAGATTTGAATTTTTTTACATTCTCGAGTTGAATGGAGAAAAAAAATTTTTTTATACGCCCTTTTAGAATTAGTAACTTGATTTCTTCTTTTAAATTAATTGAAGAAAACCAACCTGATTGTATGGATATATAAGGGGTTGATACAAACATTGAGAAAAATCCGGAGTTTGCCACATCGGCGTGGTAGCATCCTTCATTGCACATAATCTCGATACTTTTTCACCTATAAAGTGTCTAGGACACTCTAAAAGAGCTGCTGAGCCAGGCCCAGTGTCTAGCCATCGCATTCCCCAAGCAGTTTCTTTTGTACAAATTGGAACAAGTGTCCGATTAATTACGTCTATCCTTACAGACATTGAGCGATGAGCGACATTGCACGTGTATATTGCTGATTTCTGAAAATTACTAATTATTAAAATAATTCAAGCATCATTTTTAAAATTGCATTTTTACCTGAGCGTTCATAATTTTTAGAATACTTCCAGCTGGATAGAGGTCTTCCCAGACTTGATGCCCCGGTTCAAGTTTAAGTAATGCGCGGTTTTTAGTCCAACCGAAGCCTATTTCCAAGCTTTCTTTGTTGGGAGCCGTTATGCACATAAGTTGTATGTTGTTACCTTTTTCTATAGTAGCGCTCATTGGAAGAATTTTCACATTAGGTGGTTCATCTTTCACGCTTATGTAAATACTTTTACACTGTTGTATTTCTCCGTCAATAGCTTGACAGGTGTAATATCCAGCATCCAAAAGGGTTGTTTTGGTTATTAATAAAGTTATTATGTATGCATCATCAATAAGTTCTTTCTGAAGCTCAATTCCCCTTTAAATATACGTTGAAATTGTTAATAATAATTAATAACATTAAAGACTTTTAAAAACCCGTTCCTGCCTTTACGGTCATTTTTTGCTAGCAGTATAATTCTAATTCAAGTGGATGGTAATATTCCATCATCACTAACAATTTGGGACAAATCGTCCCTTGGAGAGTTAGTCGATGGGGTAACCATCGAACTTGAACACTAGTTAGCAGCTGGTGAATGTTAGTATCTGTTCGATTCTATTTTTTTAAGTATCAACGATGGAAAAACCCGAGAAGGTTCGATTCCTGGCTTGGTTAATTTTTCACGGATTTTTTCAAAAGTTGCTCTTTATTCTCAGTGGTTTTTCCATCGTTGATACTTAAAAAAAATAGAATCGAACAGATACTAACATTCACCAGCTGCTAACTAGTGTTCAAGTTCGATGGTTACCCCATCGACTAACTCTCCAAGGGACGATTTGTCCCAAATTGTTAGTGATGATGGAATATTACCATCCACTTGAATTAGAATTATACTAGCAAAAAATGACCGTAAAGGCAGGAACGGGTTTTAAAAGAATTATAATTATCACGGTCGGAAAATTAATAAATAGTTAAAATTAAAGACTTTTTTTTTTAGATAATTAAAAAAAATACTTACCTGACGGATTTGCTGGTGTTGACCAACATCTCGTCTTTATACCAGAAATACTTCATTGCAGAACTTCCTTGTACAACGCATCTCAAATATAACTCGTCTCCTAAGCGTACATGATTGACATTTTTTGGATTGTTCATTATTTCCAGCGACTAATTATTAAATTATTTAATTGTTTAATAAGTAAATATATAAATATGTGCAATGAAAATTAAAAATCTTAAACCTTTATTCGCAGAGACGGCTTTTGGTGAAAGGTCAGGTGTGTGGATTCTAAAATCAAGTCATTGAGACGTCTCCGCTGAACGAGACGATTTAGAGCATCTCGGATTTTATCACTCTCCGTTGAAAGTCCAAAGAAGCTAAGTATTACTTCGCCTGATGGTCTACAAAAAATTTATTAGTTTAACAATTATTACTTACCACAGTAAACTATTAGTGTACTTACGTTATATTTTTAATTTTCAAATCTTCCATTATTGTTATGTCAATGTTATTTTTTAAATACTTGGTAAGCTGTTGAAATGAAAATTTTTATTACCGATATATTATTCTTATTAATAATAAATTGAAGTATGTGTGTTTTTACTTGTTTCTTTAACAAAAGCTCTAGAGTGTTGACTTGTGAAGAAGATGGAAAATTTCCTCGAAGTGAAGAAGTGTTTAATAATTTTATTTGGAATTCAAATCTTGCACGATCTATTTAAATGAAAACAGTTTTTAAAAAATAATAATTATTTTAATGATACTGAAATTAATGAACATCTGTCAAGTTCTTGAATTTTTATAACAATTTAATTATTATGAAAAAGTTTTAATAAAAAAATTTTACATCTAGAAAATAAAAAAAATTGCAAGTGCAAATTTTTTAAGAATATATTTTTTTTTAATTTGTCATAAAAATCAATAAAAATTGTTAGATGTCTGCTGATTTCAGTACTATTTATTTTAATGATATGTTAAATTTAAACTTACTATGATAATTAGAAATAAATTGTCGTTTACAATTATTACAGGGTCGGTTGTCATGATCATTTTCATAGTACGGACATTGCAAAATACACCAAGGAGTGCCTTCTTGACATTCTATTAATATAATACAAAATTTTAATGACAATTAATCTAGCAGATATTTGATCATTTTTGTAACAAATAATTCATCGCAAAAAAAAATGAAAAAAAAAAAAAAAAAAATTGACATGTAGAAATAAAAAAAAATTAAATTTGCAATTTTTTAAAATAATTTTTCGGAACAAATTTGTTTGTTAAAAAAAAATGAAGTGACTTTTAACTTTAATGTCTTAGAATTTAACAACTTTAAGTTAATTAATAAATCAGGAGAACAATACCTTGATTTGGATTCGTTACTGTAATTTCTGACGTATCAGCAATAATCGGTATTTCACAATAATTACCGGTATAGCCGGATCTACAATGACACTTTACAAATTCAGCACCTATATGACTGCAAGTTCCTCCGTTATGGCAAATCGAGTTTCGATGATTGACATTTATATTGTTATCACTATTACAGAGAGGTCCATTTGAACAGTCTTTTCCGCTGAATTCATTGAAGCAGAGACACTTGAATTCACTGCAAAAATTATGAAAATTAAGTTAGCCGACATTTGAAAATTTTTATAATTTTTTTTTTTTATTGAAAAAAATCATTATAAAAAAATGAAAAAAAAATTGCACGTCTAAAAAACTTCAAAAACTGTAAGTGCAATTTTAAAAAAAATTTTTTTGTTCCAATTTGATTATTAAAAAAAAAAAAATCAAAAAATTTAGAACGTCGGTTAACTTTAATGACATGGAAAAATTTAATTAAATTTAAATGATACTGAAATTGAGAAACATCGAATAATTTTAAAAATTTTTTTAACAAATAAATTATAGCAACAAAAATTTATTTAAAAAATTACATCTTTAGAAGCTCGAAAAAATTATAAATAATGTAACTTTTTAATCATAATTTTCTAGACCTAGTTTATCGTTGAAGAAAAATAAACAAATTGTCAAAAAAGTCTGCTAATTTCAGTGTCATAAATTTGATTATTAATTTAAAATATATAAAATATTTATTATTTACAGATTACATACCTGAAACTGGCGTCAACAATGCAATTACCAGCAAAAGAACAATTTTTAACAGAACAAGAATCAGTATTTATTTCTTCAGGAGAAGTTATCTCATATGTTATATTAAATCCATACACATCCAGCAAATCATGGAGAACTCGGATGTGGTTTCCTTCAAGTCTTTCAAGCTCGAATTCGATGACAAGAAAGGGTCTGTTTGTTTCCAGTGTTATATTGTCAAACACATTACCTTCGGTTACGTCTTTTAAAATAATCGCACCAAAGTTAGTGCTTTCTGGAGAATCATAGTAAGCATACTCCGTGAATCTAAGACCTTTGTACACATAGAGTTGAGTAAGGTAGACCACAATGGTTGTGTTGTCACTATTAGTGCTGGACAATCGAATTTCTGTAGCATCAATCACCCAACGACACTTTATAGGAACATTAAATTGTCGAGGAAAATTCGGTGTACTAATTATTCCTCGTGAAGACGTCAAGTAATCTCCGCAGGGTTTTGATTTTTCAGTTTGTTTATTATTTTCATTGTAGCCATTGCTATCTCCATCAGTTACGTTTATAAAATACGCAAGTAGAAATATAAATAAATAAATAATGCTCCATTTAAAGAATACTTTTTTCAACATAATTAATATAACACTGCTAGTAGTAAAGAGGTATGTCACCAACACTTACATTATTCCGTAAATCGGTTTTGTCAATATGTACCATGATGTATTAATAAAACTTGAAAATAAAATACATTTTTTACTTACATATATTTTACTTACTATAAATAATAAACAACTATAATTATATCTGCATGTAAAACACTCATGCTATGTACTTAAAATTGAGCCACTCATGTAATTGATTCTTCTCTGAATTTTATTTGCAAACTAATGGATTATTATACTAATACATACTACTTAATCTACATATTCAAGTGTTATGAAAATTATTGAGTACTTGAAATGAGTGATAGTAATGGAGTTATTCCATACACCAGATAAATTTTTCATTTTTTATTATTAAATAATTTTTTTTTATTATATTAGAGAATATACATGAGTTGTTGGGTGAAACCGGGCGCACACGCGCAAATACAATGTTGAAGCAAAAGCGCGTATGACGATAAGAATTTCGTACTACTACTACATAGTTTCTGTGCGCAAACCCAGACACACCTATTTTACATATAATCCAAATTACAATGTACATATAGAAGAAAATTATAGGGCTAAATTACACAAGTAAGAAATAAGGAAATTTATTTCTTAAAATTTTTAATAATTTACATTTAATTAGGTTTTGTCGTTGTGATCTATCACACGTTTACGAGAACGTTGATAATTACAATAATATTATTCATTCTATACTTTATTAATGAATTTACTTAACAATTTAATTATCGAAATATTTAATAAGTCTGGATTAATATACAAACAATATTACATATATATTAGTTTTATAAAGAACGGTTATAATTAATGTATAATCTTAATAATACAGGCAAAGGTAATTGAGATATTTTTGTTTTCATATGAGAAGATAATGATTCGATATCAACGTTATAACCACAAACTCTTGGATGTGGCCGGTTCTCGCGGGAATTGTCATCATTATTTTCAATGTCATTAACCTTTGACCGCTTTGATAACGATGGATGGTTCTCAGCACTATTCAAATGATCGGAGATTCCCCATTTGTTATTTTTCTGCTGATGTCGCGATTTCATTAAATTTAAGCATTCCATTGAATCATCACCGTTATTGTCGATACCGTTACTAGCGTCCAATATTTCTTGATAGCCAGATGTATTCGAATTAGCTTCATTGTTATCAGCAGTAGTTATCCCATTTCTAATATTATTGGTTGACGTCGAAGACGGGTTCAGTATGGAAGATTTAGTACCATCTGCAACTTGGAAATTTTCATCAGTCGAATCTTGTTGTTCCTTATCGACGTCCATTGTTTCTTCGTTGGCCTGACTATCGCTATTTATTTGAGAGTTTGAATAACACAGCAATGAATCTAATGACCCCTTTGCAGATGTGAAGAGAATATCATTTGAATTTTCTTGGTTATTGTCATTATTTGAGCATCCCTGTGATAAATACTGACTAGTAGACGGTTGAAAAGCATTTTCCGATAATTTCTGATCTTTGGTTTTATTATTATCGTCGTTATTAATGGTACTCTTATCGAAGTTGAAGATATTTAATATACTTTTTTTGGGTGAGACATTTTTCAATACCCTGAATGAAGTTACTTGTTCTATTTCATCATCATCATCATTATCATCATTATCATCATTATTATTACCTTCATCTTCATCTTCTTCTTCGTTCGGCTCATTTTCTAAGCGAGAAGGTTCAAGACAGAAAAATAATCTCGTTTTTCTATTTCGGCGGTGACGAATTTTCAAACTTCTATCTTTGTTATTGACATCGTTATCATTATTATTATCATCATCATCATCATCATTATTATTATCGAGATTATCCTCATCATCGTTATTATCGACATTATCATCATCCTCATCTTCATCATCATCATCGTCATAGTCATCATTTAATGTAATGTAAGGAGAGTTATCGGATGATTCATCGTATAACGGCATGACATATCTCGGCAATGTAGTTTGAGCGGTGATAGGATGATAAGCATTTGGTCCTGATCTATTGAGTCCTGTGATTGGATAGTTAACTTCTAATTCCGGGTGTTCAGCCCAAATATTTTTACGAAGCTGACATCGAATTTCACATCGACACAACTCTTGCAGTGATAGAGGTTCGGAAAAAGCTATATTGGATTAAAACAAATATTTATATTTATTTATTTATTTATTTATTTGAAAACACTTGTAGATTATTGTCTTACAATCAATATACTTACGTAATAGAAGTGAACTATTGGGACAATCATTGACTTTATCAGTAGTGTTATCATGATCATCACCACTATTATTATAAATACAATTAGATGTAGGCATGATTAGAGGTGCAAATAAGACAGGTAACATGACTCTATGTTTCCAACTATCTGTATCAACTCTTTCGATACGGAGTAAGTGGTCCTTGTATGGCATCACCAAAATTCCGCCAATTTTAACGAATTGTTTAATGAATGCTTCATGAGATTCAGGACAAGCGGCACCGCAATATACTCTATCGTATTTTCGGGTACATTCCAATTTTAAGCAGTTTCCTGGACGGGCATACAAAATTATACTTGTAGATTTAAAAAAAAAAATGAAAATTTAAATCAATTTAATTCAATTATATTTACCTTGTATAAATACAGGTTCGCAAAAATCAAACTCATCAAGTGCCAATGATTTTTGTTTAAATTCTTCCAATTTTTCATAGGCATATTCCATACAATCATTATTTAATTCAATCCCATGATTAGTACCATTACGACCTGTAACAAAAATCACTAAATCAGATAAAAAGTTCAAAAGTCTCTACGAAATTCCAAGATTATTAAATTATTTCCAAAACATTTCAAATCTCAGCTAGTAATTGTTAATATTACTATTACAAACAAGCTTAACACAATGAATTATGACACTGAAATTAGGAGACATTTGACAATTTTTTGATTTTTCTTGAAAAATAAACTTGATCTAGAAAGTTACTTTTGAAAAATTGTATTTAAGAGTTTTTTTTAGAGCTTCTAAAGATGGAATTTTCAAAATAAATTTTTCTTGTTATAATTTATTTTTTGAAAAAATTATTAAAATCATCAGATGTCTCTTAATTTCAGTATCATAATAAATTAATATTTACTTAGAATTAATCCTGCCATTGTACTCAAATACCCAGTTCCTGAACCTATGTTGAGAAAACTTAATCCTGGTTCCAGTGATAAGCCTTCCATAACTTTAGTGTATATACACGGTGCAGATAGATGAATATTTCCCATTTTCCAGGATAAATCTTTATAAGCTTCACTTCTGTGACTTGGTAGTACATAATCACCTCTATCAACAGCCCGAAAAATTCGTTCGACTCTTTTTGTTTTAATGTACCCTAAAATTTTGAGAATGTCCACCAGATCTTCATTATTTTCACCACTCGTTACATTTCCCATTTTTATTCCAAAATAATTATATGTATCTTAATGATTTACAGCTATAGTTTCAAAATAAATCAAAAGATATATTATTTATCAGCAACTTTTTTAGAAATTATTAAATAATTTTAATAAAAAAAAATAAAAATTGCGACTCTAATGATATTATCACAACACGTAACAATAACACATTATTAATTTATAAAGAAAGATATATTTTTAGTGTGACGTGGGTATTTAAATGACTTTTTCTGTATAAGCAGTTGTTCACAAATGTAGGTATGGATACGTGTAGCGTATATTTATCTACATTCACTTCATAATAATGCGCACAACAAAAATCTTTTGACACAAGCCATAAACAAATGTAGATACGAAGACGAATTCAGTAATGACAGTTCTCTCCATTTAACCTTTAAAATAAAAAATAACATAAAACAAATCTATTGGGATCCGTGGGAGAGGCGTGGCTTAATTTTTGGCCGTCTGGTGGTTAAAAAGTAAACTAACGATTGTAGGATTCTGGATACAGCTGATGCTTGTAAATAAACGTGTAGATAGGATATAAAATTAAATTAAAAATTGCGTGTGACCAAAATTTAATTAAAAATGCGTGTAAACTTACAAGAAATTTGTAAATTTACTTCAGCTACAGCTGCTAGCAAGAATTTTATTGATGAAGAAAATATTATTGATTGTGGTCATTTATTGAATTGTGGAAAGTGAGTCATAGTGATGACAACGATGTTTATCATATTCTTGCTTTTTGCTTACAAACAGCTGGTTTAAGAAATTAATCTCATTAAATAAATGCTCAAATCTCAAAGAACGGAAAAATAATTGGTATGGAATGCTCTTGCAAGACTGGATTGGGAAGTACTTGCAAACATATTGTGGCAGTACTTTTATTTTGTAACCGGTAATTATGACTTTATCTTCCTTTCTTGTTAATCAATAAACTCTAAAATTATTAAATATTTATTAAATTATTGATTCTATTATTCTGTACTTACAGAAATAACTTTGAAGATTTCAAAGATATTACGTGAACAGATAAGAAATGTGCTTGGAATGCACCTTATGAATCAGCTCTTGAAAAATATGAGGCGAAGCTTTTATTTGAACACAAATGTGTTAAAGAAAAACAAAAAAAAAAAAAAGATGAAGATAAAGTTAAAATGAAGAAATCTATCAGATCACTCTAAGGCAAATACGTCACTCCAAAAGAAGCTGCTACTGATCCTCCAGTATGTTTAAGCATGGGTTTAACTGAATTAGATGAAGCAGAATATGAAGAATTTCTTAAAATAACGGTGGAAGAAAATTCTTCATCAGCTTTAGCAAAACATTTTTAAATAATTTTTATTTTAATTAATTTTTTTATTGATGTTTTTTTTTTTGTAAATAAGTAGTTTACATCATCAATTTTATATTTGACTCCGAAATGATTTTTTTTTGTAAATAGTTTACACCATCAATTCTTTATTTTTATGTGGAGAATATTCCATTTTTATAATTATATTGATGTACGTATATTAATTTTTTATAAATGTATGATTACGAAATTCACTTTTTGTATTGCTTATTTTTTTTTTTTTAATAAAAATTACACTGTATTTTGCTATTTTATTGATATTAACATTGTGTGTTAAACATGATTCTATCCTACAATCGCTAGTTTGAATTTAAACCACCAGGCGGTGTATTTAAATCCTCAGTTTCCCAATATTTACAGACGGTTATTAAAAAAATTTTTTTTTATTATTATCCGTCATATCAGCTCAGAACTTCAGAATCGAATAGCGCGAGAAATGAACCCCAGAAAAGATTAAAAGAATATAAATAATTAAACAAATTATAAAGCGTGTTAGACGTTCACTTACACATAAACTCTTACAAAGTATACTGGACAGCTGTATATTTAATAACAACCGTCAATTCATCTTTTTTAATTGTTTCTGTTAAGTGACATAAACAAGAGATCATAATAATAACAAGCTCTTATTTTTTTTGTGATAATATACACACACTTTGATTTATTAATAAGAGTGTTTCCAACACATTTATATCCAATTTATTTTTTTATCTTGGACTTTGTAAGTTAGCGCCATCTATTTAGAAAATTTTTTTTTTCTTTTTTTTTGCAAACGAGTCGTACTGCCCCGATTTACCCGATCTGTCCGACATAGCTTCATCAATAAAAAATCAAAATACCCGCGTAACTGGATATTGTTTAAACTTTAATATATTACTGTTTGATTGTTTAAAGGGTATATATTTATTTTCACATTGACAGTACTCGAGTATCGCTTCGCTGATAATCATTACTGCAGTTGCAATTTTACACTGTACTCAAATACTTACTGTACTCTCGAATACTTGAATTCATAAATGTAAGATTATATTTTTTTGCATAGTTTTACTTTATTTTTTTATAATGTAAATTCGGCTTTAATTTTAACTTATAAAAGTACTTTCATGGGGGTGCAATGAATTTGTGCGTGTAAATATCTATATCTATAATGATCAACTGACGCATGCGCATTAATAATTTTGCGTTAATCACACACTTAGTAATTTGGTGTATATGCGTGTCGGTATGTATATACAATAGTTACAAACGATGGCGACTGAAAACTTTAAAATGTAAGTATTTTATTATTTAAATAATTATTTTTGACATTGTAAAACAATACTGGCTAAATATTACAATTAAACTTACAGTACTATAGATTTATTTTTATCAATTGCCATTTAACATTTTTCCTTTTCTGCGTCAGATATAATTGTATAATGGCATAGCGCGAAATACAACATACCAAGTACGTTATACTATTTTGTTACTAGACAATATATTGTAATAATATAATATATTAATATTCGTCAAAAAAAAACTATCCAGTAGACTATTTAATGTTTTTAAATATTTTCACGAAGAGTATACAACAGTTTAAATGGTCAGATTTGGAAAATTAAAAAAAAAAAACATCTCTATACATTTTTCTGTACAATCGTCTCGTGAATAGATATGTAATATTTATGATTTTCATAATACAATGAGACAATTTTTTGCTGATATTTTACAAAATGAAAAACGTAAATTATTGTACAAAATAATTAAGTTCTATGGGATTTTTAATTAGTTTATTGGTACAAAATTGATAACTACAATAATGTTTTTTTTTTTAGGATGAAAACTTACGCAGACACACGTGTGAGTGAATCTAACTATATTGTATGCCCGTGTGTATATACACAAGCGTTACACCATTGCTAATATAAAACTTTTCGTATAGAAGAAAAACATTTCTCTGCAGTTCTGAAATTTTATAGAAAATATTCATTATTGTGTAACCTAAGGACACACATCTAAAATTTTGTTTTTAAAATCAAAATTGATCTTACATTACACATCGATCAATAATTTTTATTGGTTATTTTGTAGTGTCTTGTTACTAATAAGATCAGCATCACTTTTTTATAATGAGAGGCGCTAATTAGATTATTTTTTTATAATAAGATGAAATTGTTGACATAACTAGGGTACGTTTATGTTGAGCAAGTTTATTTTGACGGATAAAAATAACAACAACGTGATACATAAGGCCATTTTGAAAAATTACTGGTTATTAAATGCTTGCAAAACATTTTCTTAACTAAAATTTTGAAATTCTCAGCTGTTAATTTGTAGTTTTATTGAAGAAATTTATAATGTTCGCAACTTAAAGTTTTAGCAATTGTTATTTCTTTTTTTTGAGACAGCACTTAAAGTGGTGAAGGAATAAATATAGAAGCAGTTCAATAATGAAAATTATATTTAAATTTTAGTGGTGTTAAACCATCACCAGAGTGAGCTCAGTTAGCTCAGTTAGCTTCACATATGAATACACAGAAATGTATATCTATATATACTCAAATGTAGTGGCATCTAGTGAAGAAAAAAAGAATTTTATAGACAAAAATTAATTATTACATATACCTATACATACTTACAATATGTAAATGCAAATCAGTCGTTTTTAATAAATGAAAAAATAAGTGATATTTTATTAGCAATATATAAATAATTAAGTGCAAAGTAATGAAGTAAAATATGAGAGTATATAAAAATAGTCTTTTAATTAAATTTTTTCATCAAATATTTCACACAAGTTCTTTAGTAATGTGAATAACACAAGTTTAGTGTTTAAATACAAACTTGGAAAGAAAAAAATTATATATAGATATAAAAGAATATTGTTACTAATCAAAGGTAAGGAGTTACAAGATGAAAATTGTTTAATTTAATATCGATAATAATGTCATAAGTATGAGTCTTTTTAACATTTGAAGTTTACTTCAATCATATATTCATATAGAAAAATTCGTTAAGATAAAGAGAGTGGGAGAAAGGAAAATAAGAGTACGTGATTTCGATTATCTGAATTTATTGGCTTATTATATGAACATTTTTATGGATTAACCAATCTAATGTTTTAATTCATCAGTTTAAGCTTAGTTTACATTTCAATCGTTATTTTTTTTCTTTATCATTATTATTACTCTATACGGACGTGAAGTAATGGTACAAGTAAAATTTTAATGAGTACAAAAATATATTTGTCAATAATCGCGCCTTTTTTTTTTTTTTTTTTAGATAAATTGTAGATTAATGGAATTTATTTTAAATTTGACTATTGTACATGGTAATTAAAAAAATTGTTATTTGTTTTTGAATAAAGTTTAATTCAAATTCACATTTTCGAACAGAATGGAAGAAACGATTCACGTTGAGGGGATTTCGAACTTGGAGATAGTTCAACAGCGGGTATCGGCAGCTAATGAGAATGATTCAACAACAGCGGCAACTCACATTGTGCCATTAGTATACATTCAGCCTAACAAGGTACAACATACAAGTCCTCTGAATCAGCAGATATCAACCTCCGCTCTACAGATAGTAAACTCATCAACTTCTACTGCAGCGATTATTAATCCTATTAATGCTCCGGTAAATATATTTGAAATGCTTGATTTTATTAGTATATATAAAAAAAAATTGGCTATATTTTTGCACTATGCTTTATTAGTTAGTTAAAAAACTGTAATAATTACAAAGAAATTTTTTTGTTTTATTTGATAGATTACTGCTCAAAATAAAGTATTTATACAAGGCCCACATACCATTAGTTTATCAAGTAAGCAACATTATGTAATAAGGCAACCTATAACAGCTAGTGTTGTAACAACAGCCCCAACTTCTACTCAAGTACAAAAGCACATATTAGTGAGAAAGCCTGCACACATTTTACCGTTGAATAAAACACCTTCGCCACCGCCTCAGCAGTCATCACTACCGCCAGTTTCACCAACTAATCAGATAAATAATCTTCAAAGTGGAAAGCATAATAATTTAACATTTATTAACACATATGAAAAACCCATTAAGCCTCGGATGGATTTTTCAATGCCCATACCAACAGTCGCAGCGACAACAGCAGTCACTGGTAAGTTATATAAAGGAATAACGAGTTTTTGTTCACAAGCAATTGAATTTAATGTATTTTTTTCTCTTATTTACTAGGAACTCTATCAACTAATCAGGCAGTTGTACCTAAATCTAAAGTGGTTATTTCACCGGTACAAACAGCAGGTCAAACGTCAACAACAGTGTCAGGATCACCAGCGAAAAATATTTCGAATTTTTTATTACCAGTAAATATATCACCACCAGGTCTTACTGAGTCTTCGAAGCAAAATGTATTCAATCTTAAAGTGACAAACGGCAAATTGAATAATAGCGTTGAGATTACTACAACCAGTAACAGTAACTGTAATAGCAATACTAGCAAAGGAGCTATAACAGGTAAATTATATTTACAAAAAATATGAAGAAATCTTGATTTTATTTTGTAAAATTAACATTGTTTTTTATTTCAGTATTACGAGAGTCATCTAAGTCATCATCATCATCAAATAATCCTCCGCCTCTTCATCCAATTACCAAAATAAATTTACTGAACAAAAATGCCGGCATTAACTTAAATTCATCTGCACCACCATCACCATCTACAGATGGAATAAAAATTACGGAAAATCCAGATTCAGCTGTTATCACTCCAATACCTAATAATAATGATAACAGTGGTAATAAAAATGATGAGTATTCTGAAAAAAGAAAAAAAACTGTTAGTAATATTTTATCACGAGGTCCAGTAGCAGTTACTGAAAAAAGGCCAAAAAAGCAAAACCTTTCGAAGACAAGAGAGTGCCCGGAAGACAATGAATTGTATGACCAATTAGATATTCCACAGTTGCTTGGAAAAAATTCACGGGATAAAAAGTCAAATCAGAATGATGATGAGATAACGTTGATAAAAGTTATCCCAAGTCAAACAGGAAAATCCAATAAAAATATCAACAATAAGAGTGATCGTAGTTCAACAGAAATTAACTCGGTGGATGATGACATCAAAATTGAAATGATTAAATCTTCAAGCAATGTTAACTCAAGTTTGATGAACGGTGATAAACAAAACATTAAGTCCAACAACCATGCTGAGGAAGTTAATGGTAATACCGCTCAATATCATAATAACAATAACAACAATAATAATAATACTAACAATCATAATAATAATCATCGTCATCCTCACAACGATTCAAATTTTGACGTGACCAAAGCTCTGGAATGGAAAGACGGTGTAGGAAGCTTACCTGGAAGTACGCTCAAGGTAACTTGAATATCTATTTTTTAATCATCTATTTTGGAAAAGTTCTTTTTAATTTTATATTGTTGTATATTTGTTACCTATTACTTAATAAAATGTGTAGTAATAACATTCTATATAATATTCGATAATTATATATAAATATAAATATTAATATAAATACCACGTGCATCTCGCGCAGTTTTGCATAAACGAGTTCGGGCTGATGGAAGTCGTTGATGATGACAATTCAAAGCAAGATAAACACAACAACATTGGTGATAAAGAGAATGTGTGTTTATCACCCCGAAATTCATTTAAACCAACATCAGCGATCACTATTACGTCGACTACTACTGAAAAAAAAAGTACGTATTAAAAAATTATTCCATCAACTATAGATTTATTTTATTTATTATAAATTAATACTCTCATAGATGAAGAAAAAAAAAATCGTAATGCTGTATCAAGTGACACCTTGTACTGTTGCGAAAATTGCGGTTGTTATGGACTGGCTGCTGAATTTGATAGTCCAATATCATGTAGTCCAGCCTGTTCTACAGCTATTGAAGATAAGAAACAATTGCAGTTACGTCGAGAAAAGGACGCTAGGTTCGTTTTTTTAAAAATGTATATTTTGGTTGTTTTTAATATTATTTTCTGTTGGATTACAAACAATGTATTTTCTCAATTTCGGTTTTTAGGGAATCAAAAATCAAACGGAAAAAAAAAAAATTACTTCAAGAAAAACTAACAAAAACTCAACAGTCAGAACAGGAACATGAAGAGTCAGAACAAAAAGATGATAAAAAAGAACAGATTGAAATTAAAAGTGACCCTTCGCGATTAACACCAAAAGTAGAATCTGATGATGACACATCTATTAATAATTTAGATGAAACAAGTAGGCAAAGCGGCGGTAATGAAGCTGCAACAGAACCTAAGGTAAATAATTTAATATTTTCGTGTATATACAATATACATGTATGGAGAATGTTTATTTATTTTTTTTTTTTTTACATTTCGTAGTATCCGTGGCAAACGGGGAAACTCGGTTTCTCATGGGCTAAATATTTAGAGTATACGAAAGCCAAACCAGCGCCATTAAAACTGTTTAAAGATCCGTTTCCCTATGGTAAAAATTTGTTTAAAGTTGGAATGAAGTTGGAAGGAATAGATCCTGAACACCCATCACGTTACTGTGTTTTAACAGTATTTGAAGTAGTTGGTAAGTTGTATTGATATTATCAACAATGAAACATATATTTTAATAAAAATCCATTTTTTCAGGTTATCGAATACGTTTACACTTTGATGGATATCCCGAAAATTTTGACTTTTGGGTAAATTCTGATAGCATCGACATTTTTCCGGTCGGCTGGTCTGAAAAACATGGACATCGACTAAATCCACCAAAAGGCTATGTTCCGAGCAATTTTAATTGGAACGCTTATCTCAAAACCTGTAAAGCAACTCCAGCACCCAAAGTAGCTTTTTCAAATCATAAAAGTGTAAGTTCTGGTAATAAGACATGTAAATTTATTAACTTAAAAATATATTAATTAAATTATTATTTTCTAAAAATAGACGACATTTGCACCAGTTGGATTCCGCGTTGGAATGAAGTTGGAAGCAGTAGACAGAAAACATTCGCCTTCAGTCTGCGTAGCAAGCATAGCCGGAGTAATGGACTCACGAATCCTAGTGCATTTTGATTCTTGGGATGAGGTTTATGACTATTGGGCTTATCCTAATTCACCTTATATTCATCCCGTAGGATGGTGTCATCACAATGGACACAGTCTTACACCTCCAAACAGTAAGATAGTCATTATTTATTATTGTTGTTTCACATATATCAATGAATATCAACTAAAACTTATCATTATTATTTCAGATTATAAAGACTCTAAATCATTTACCTGGGATGCATATTTACGGGAAACACGCTCTGTTGCGGCACCTTCTAGAGCTTTTAAACAAAGAGCCCCACTAGGTTTTAAGCGAGGAATGAAATTAGAAGCAGTGGATAGACGCGTTCCACAATTAATTCGAGTGGCAACGATTGAAGATGTGAAAGATCACATGTAAGTGTTTTTTTTTTTTTTTTTTTTTGTTCAGTTCATTTAAAATTGTGATTCTAGTAATTGATCATTGTAATCTCAACAGGATTAAAATTCGTTTTGATGGCTGGTCCGAAGTCTATTCTTACTGGATTGACGATGATTCTCCTGACATCCATCCAATGACTTGGTGTTCAAAAACTGGACATCCATTGGAAGCTCCTTTGAGTAAGTTATATTATTAATCAATAATATGAATTTTTCCAATGTAATATTTTTAGTTTAAAAACGTATATTTTTCTATTCAGCTCCAGAATTATTAAATGAACGAACTGAGTGTGGTACTCCTGGTTGTCGAGGCGTTGGTCACGTTAAAGGACCTAAATTCGCTACACATAATTCGGCTTCAGGTTGTCCTTACTCTCCTCAAAACTTACACAAGATAAGAATGGTATCTGATCGTCTCAATGTTAAACATGAGATTTGTGATTATGATGAAGATTCATCATCACCGACATCTTATGACTTTATACCAAAAACCGAAAAATCAGAAAAAGTCAGAACGAGTGCTGACCGGTCGGGTAAACACTCACCAATAAATAATTATAAATCATTGAAATTGGAAAAAGATATTAAACCTGAGGATTATGAATCTGACCACCGCCAAGAAACATCAGAAAGGTTTGTTATTCATTATAAATTTATAATTTTATTTAACACAATTAATGTTTTTCTTTTACATCATAATATAGGTCCAAAAAATTTTCAAAGCACAATTACAATAACAGTGATGCCGGACAATCTGAGGACGATGATGTAGCACCACCACCTTTGAAAAAACGTCGTAAAAAGTATGAGAAAAAAAATTTAATTGTTTTTTTTTTTAAATTAATGATGACCAACTTTTCCTAAATGGTTCAATTTTTTTAGGCGTCAAGTTTCAGAAGAATCAAATTTTTCTTTACCCGTTACGGATACAACTGGAAACTTATGCGGAACTAATAATATTCCGGACAAGCAACTTCGCACTGAAATTCATCAATCAGTCTTTAACCCTGGGTACAATCCTTTACCCGACGCTCCTCATATGTGGGCCAAACATAGTAATGCTCTGAACCGAGTAGTCGCTAAACAAAATACCAATCCTCGAAGATGGTCCAATGAAGAAGTCATTAAATTTATTTCAAATGTTCCAAATTGCAAAGAAGTTGGGAGTATTTTCCGTAAACATGTAAGATACTTTAAAATAATTATCAGTTATCAATTAGTAATTATTTATAAAACGACCATAATAATAATTTTCTGTTTCTTATATTGTAGAGTATCGACGGAGAAGCATTTTTAATGTTAACGCAAGAAGATCTGGTATCACTTTTGGGTTTAAGATTGGGTCCAGCCATAAAATTATACAACAGTATTGTGTTATTGCGTCGAAAAGCTACGTGAAGAAAAGAATGTTTACAAAATTTTTTAAATGATTCTTATGAGCTTTAAACACGTCATTATTAAAATTTATGTATTGCTGTTTAAGCAGTTAATTAAGTTTACGTAACACGTTGTGATTGACATTCACATTTTATTATTATTTTTATTTTAACTGTATATAAATGTACATATTTATATAAATATATTCATATAATACATAGATTTAATTAGATATAAAAAATTGTCGCATAGCATAATAAAAATTTTGTTCAATATATATAAAACTGTTAATTATTTCTTAACTTAAAAAATAATTAGTTTATCATTAAAACTGTTTGAAATAAATGAAACAAACGCATGCGCACTTGATTAATTCTTTCTCTGTTGCACATATTGAAAGACGTCCTTGATCGTCATTGGTCCCTCCTAACCACCTTTCATCCCTACTTTCTAGCTGGTGTTTTACATATCTTGATGTTATTCTGATTCTCTTCAACTCTCTTCTCAACTCTTCTTGAAGCGTGCTCTACAACACCACTTTACAGCCATACCAGCAGCAACGGCACAGCAGCAGCAGCAACTAAACACCAATATCATGAGCCATGCCAATGTTTACACACTTTACTCACATACATAATGTGTTGTATTACTATACTCGTATAGCAGCCAGTGGAACTCGAACTAACTGTCCCTTGGTGTCCCTACCCAGCTGCCAGTTGCTTCGTTGCTCCCATGCAGTCAACAATCACCAGTTGCTGCAATAATTATTTATATTATTTACAAACATCAGTATAAGTTTCGTTAAATTTTATCAGTGTTTAATTATTTTTGACTTATGTAGTTGTACTTGTTTTTTTTTTTTTTTTTTTTTTTTTTTTTCAATAATAGTGCGCGATTTTAAAAGTGTAACAAAGTTTTGTATTTAAAAAACTTCTATTTGTGACATTACGTCTCTGTATATATTGCGTACGTTGAAATTTCAATGACTTAAATGTAAACATCTCGAAGAAATAAAAAAATGTTGGTAAATAAAATTATCATGGCAATAATTAAAGCAACAATAGTTTATCGTAAAAATTATTATTTTTTACCGTCATAATTAAAATTAATGACTCTTATTTAGAACTTGTCAAAAATAAAACGAGTAAAAGTCACCATGATCGGTGACACTACTGAAAGGACATCAATTTTAATAAATAAAAAGTATCTTATGATATTTATTTATTTGTGAAGAAATAAAAAAAAAAAAAATAAAAATAAAAAGTTAAGCGATCGCGAAAGGTAAATAAAAGTTTCGATTTAGCAGTGGCACGCGTGAGTACGTTATGAGTGTATTGTTTTTGTTGTTTTCGTCAGCCAGTAGTAGCAGTTGCAGTTATTGGATTCGGTTAGAAAAGATAAATAAAAAAAATGTTGAGTCACTAGTGTTATTAACATCTTCGTTAATGCTCGACAGAGTGGAAAAGCGTGACGGCTCCCGCCAGGACGAAAAAGACAGTAGTGGGCAGCAGCTTAATTACAAATTTATAAAAAGTGTTGACGTGCTGGATGGTGGTCTATCTATTAACATCATCACCAGCAGCAATAAAAAAATAATGCCTCGGACGATTACAAGACGAGGATTGCAGGCCCTTGTACTTGTACTCGTAACCGTCTATGCTACAGTGTTGATATACCAGGCAGTTTTGTCACCTCCGATAATTCCCCCAGTTTTGTCTCATCAACAGGTAACTATAACTATACGCTTATAATTTAATAGCAATTATCGTGATTTACCTATAACATACACTGTACTAATATACCTTAATATTATTGACCTGTTAATAGTGGCCGGAAGATAATTTAATTGGATTAAGCAATAGCCACAGTGTTAATGCTCCAATTCAGAGGGTGTTAGATGGTGAAGAAACAACGGTAACACCTTCACTGGCAACTGTTACAACAGCAACTTTATCAACAAACCTTAATGACCTTTTTATTAGCGTTAAAACTACACGGCACTATCATCATTCCCGGTTACCGGCAATAATCTCCACGTGGTTTCAAGATGCCAAAGATCAGGTTTGTACAGCACGCGTCGTGTCCTAAGGCGTCTGTTATTATTGAAATCAACAAAAAATTTGTAATCTCTCCTTTTTCTTCTTATTTTTCAGTTTCTCAATCATAAAATAATAATAATAATAATAATAATAATAACATTATACTCTTCTTAATGTCATAATCATAAATTATTAACACTCATAAAATTTTGTGTAATTAATTATGTTTATGATAGTGATGATATTTTTAACGCGAGCGAGCGTTATTCTTCCTTTTCACTCTATATAAATAAATGGGATAATTGAGGCAATTATACGCATTAAAAAATTAGCTGAAATATGCGAGGCTTTTTTTAGTGAATCATCGTCTTATCCGTGTTACTGACGATGAAGATGTTCTCATTACTAGAACCGTGGCATATATAAAACAGATGTTTAAATGGATCTATATCAATGTCAGATCTCTTCACAAATCAATCAAGCGTTATTTTATATATGTATAAGAGTCCAATAATTTAGATTAGTGGAAGATAATTTAATGTTTTATGTTTCAGACCTGGTTTTTCACCGATCGTGACGATCCATACTTCCAGAATTTAACAAGTAAGAATTTTTATAATTATTAATTAATATATTTATTTACAGTTAGGCCCAACAGCTATTGCCATTAACAGGGCCACTAATAATAATTTTAATTACAATGAGTTTTACACAAGAGAGATACATAAATATAGTTAACACAGATAAATATTGTTAATTAACATAATATATTCATTAAAATGTAATCTTATTCATTAATTGCTATGCTGTTATTAAAAATTAATTTTGAATTAATTGCGCAAGTTTACTAGAATAGATGCTAGGTCATTGGTAGTTAATATTTGATTAAATCCTAGTAAATCGCATTCATAGACGCTATTTTTTACAATTATATTACAAAGGTTTAACACTTTAATAATTGAAGTTTATATAACATTTAATAATTGATTTATGCTCCAAAAATTTTAATATCTCAGATATTTTGTAATTAATTGATTTGTTTATTTTTTTTTTGTTTATAGATGGTCATATGATCAATACCAAATGCTCATCTTCTCACAATAGACGAGCTCTGTGTTGTAAGATGTCTGTAGAGCTGGACAAATTTCTTGAAAGCGGCAAAAAGTAAGTCCAAGCTTCATTATAGATCGTGACAGCCATAATTAAAATAAAAAAACAAGTTATGCTGAACAAATATTTATCTGATTTTGAATAAATAAGACATAGGATAAAAAATGTCTTGTAAATAGCAGCTGGTAATCGGGATGCGCTATTCGGTGATTCAATCATGCGTCGTTAGTCTTGTCTAAGATGTTAACTTAAAGAATGCCTATGCTATCTATGTAATATGTCCACACGTATGAGGCGGATAATAAAAGAGAAAATTTAAAAAGAATATAGTGTGTGGAGTAGAACACGCTAGGCGGTTTAGTGTTTCAAATGTCACATGCGGGTTACACACACACATTTTTATACTCAATGTTATGCTGGTTTATAGATATTCATGCACATCATGTAAGAGTATGTAACGTGATAATGTTCCATATTAATAAGTATAAAAATAAATTTTTTTATTAATGTAATTTTGCTTAATAAAAAAAAAATTCAGCGATTCTCGCATCAGATAAAAATTAAACAAACGGTTTCTCGCTAATTAACGTGCAATAATAAAATTTTATTTGCACCTGACTCGTAATACTTATGTTACTTTTATAATATTCGTTAAAAGTTAAAAGCCAGGAGAATTTAATAAATACCTGTATAATTTAAAGACGATTATCCTAATATCCAATGCCGCTTTTTTTTTTAACAAATTTTTATCGACTTCCCTTGCGTCGATATTACTAATAATAAGCTTAAATACAATTTATAATGACAACAACTCGGATAATTACACATTTGGTACGTTATATATTCTTCGTGCCGGATAAAAAATAAGAAAAAGGCTTGCAATTTTTTATTTGGCAAAGTACACGTGTAGCGGCGAGGTACGCAATTCCACAGAGTAGATCTTGCGTGACTTGCAACCCGTTGCATGGTAATGTCACGTAATAAGTGTTTTAGAGACAAGCAAGAGATGCCATATCCCTTATTTCTGTTCACTTAACTCTTCCTGAATGTGTACCACTTTTTATACTTTTTACGATTTTTATTTTTCATTCAATATTTCTTTTTTTTATTTTCGTAATAGCTCTGACAGTCAGCGCAGTTATGTTGCTGCTCGAGTTTTACTTTTTTTCGCTTATTACATTCCTGACACATTGTCATCATTTATAATACTCATCACGCGGTCCTTCCCTTACATATGCATAAAGGGCTTAGCTTTTTTTTATAAAACAAAATTCATATTCAATTCAATTTACATATATAATGCCGTATATAAAATGTTATCTTCAATATGTATTATAATTTTTGGTACTCGCTTTCATAATTTATTTTATAAATAAATGGAAAAAAAAAAAAACTAATCTTAAGGCAATATATTTAATTGATATTTTTTATTCACAGAGAGAAGAAATATTTCATTGAAAGCAAGATAAATATTTGAATTAAAAAGCTATTTAATCATACTCGTCTCGTCACGTGCATATATATTAATTTACCCAATAGATTTATCATATATGCGTGTATGTGTGTAATGGACGACACAAGCGTTTCGTATCGCTTCATCACTACACATAGCAAGTCAACGCCACACGTGATAAGTACAGCACACTCGTCAATAAGTCTTCTGTGAATCTTAAGAACCGTCTATTATGTCTCCATCATAAACTACATATAATAATGATTTATAAATGAAAAATAAAATTAAAAAAAATAGACTGAACAAGATGAAGAAATAAACTAACAGAGTATTGATCTTTATTATAGGATGCAGAATAAAATTACATAAGTATGAAAGAACTGCATAAGCATCATCATCATAAATAATAATAATAATAATAATAATAATAATAATAATAATAATGGAAATATCGGCGAGGAAGAGGACATGAAAGTTGAGTGGTAATTATACATACATGTACATCAAACATGATGAGATACATAATACCAGTACACGCATAAATATAAGTATACGTACATTGTACATGTATAGCATTCGTTTTTCATCTAGATGGCAAAATATTAAAGAGTTTCTCTCGGTCCATGATATGAGTTGCGTGCATGTCGCTATTTGAAGATTTACCCAGCACGGTGTGGTTTCGTGGTCATGCAAGAACTGGTTTGCACCTGATACTAGCCTCACTAGCGATCATATGACGCGCCTGGTTGCTTGCCTGGCCCTGCTACTTTCAATCCCCATTGCTCCTTTACCTTTACTTATTGTCCCTTATATCTCATATTTCTTCTTTCCACTCTACATTCTCAATATAATATATACTTACGCTAATATTTTTATCCGGAAATAATATTTTTACTATCAATCTTCATGAGGCACTTATTTTGTTGATAAATATATATTATGACTGGGCATTTTCGATTCAATTAAAAAACCCTACCTATATATTTTATTTAATCATGATTACGATTGGTATTATGACTTTTATTCACTGGACAGTTGATATAAGTATTAAAGTCACTGAACAAAATTAATTGGAGTGAAAGTAGACAACGGAACTCAATATCCAGTTTAGTTTAATATCAACTCAATACAACAATATAACAACAAATAATAATAAAAATTATAAAAAAAGAAGATAATTACTGCACGATTGTTACATGATAATAGTTTTATCATTAAATACAATACCAAAATATATATATTCGATTACTATCACGAATTCTTTCGAAATGTCAATATATGATATATAATATCGTATATAAACTTCTGATGAATTTAATATTATCCCCTAAGTACAAAACTTAAATATTTGTTATTACTTATTGTGTACAAAGTTTAATAATTTTTATTATTGGATATTGATCTAGTTCTTATCAGTATAAATTTGAAATACGAGGGAATTAAAGGAAAAGTAGAAAAAGAAGAAGCAGAAGAAGAAGAAGAAGAAAAGTTGTGTTTGTATAAGAATATATAAAACTGATAAGTAGCTTTATAACTGGCGCTAAAATGTATTAAGAAAATGAATTTAAAGTTAGTTTTGCATGTGCGAGCGGGTTGAGGTAGGGTGAGGGTACGGATCGCGGCAGTGGCGGATGTACCAATGAACTCTGTTGCGAGAGTCAACGAGCTTCTTCCGGTAGCGACGGGACCAACCACTCCCCATGCACTCGCTGTTGCAGAATATTACTATATACAGCTAAAAAATTTTTAATCCAAACTTTTATACCGTCAATCATATGATATATCATGTAATCCGCTGGACGTATATATCAACCACTGCCGGATAGAAATGGAATAAATTTTTGTTTCATTTATACTTTTTCAATAAATGTACTGCTAAACTTGGAACTTGGATAAGTATAACTCACTGGGATTATTATGTGAAGCGCAACTGTTTATTTATGCGGAATGAGAGAATCTTATAATATTTTAAATAAATATACCTATTCATCATCATCGTGCTTACAGGGCATAAAATATTGCGCTTTTAGATTTTTATTACTATTTTTTACAGATCGTAAAACAGGTGGTATTCGTATTTAAGTTATTGCCAGCTCTCAAGATATTATACTTTATTATAAATAATTTATTATTTGAGTATAAAATCCATCGATTTGTTCTTAAATGAAATTTATATTTCTCCTTATAATAACTTTTTTTTTTTTGTTGTTATTATTATGTTCAGGTGGTTCTGCCATTTTGATGATGATAATTATGTAAACGTGCCACGTCTTTTGCGGTTGCTGGACAATTACAATCCTCGGAAAGATTGGTATCTTGGCAGACCCTCAATACCAGCACCTTTGGAGATTACGAGACAACACGGAAGCATACCTGAATCTTCAAAACGAATAGTGAGTTTCAACGCTACGCATACTTTTTATAGCAACCCTTTCCTATGAAATAACAACCTCTTTATATTTATAATGAACATATTGTTTGCTAACAATGAGTGTACACTCATATCATAACAGTAAGTAAAACAGGAAAACATATGTAAATATCTAATTAACTATTGTAAATAATACTGTGCAGAATTTCGCATTGCATTTTAAAACTACACTGATAATGATAAAAGAATGTTTGAATAACCGATTTATTAATCCATGGGAACTATTTGTTGATTAAAAGTTAATAAATTTCATAATATTTTTTTAATACATCACCTACTATTTATAAAATCCAATTATTCGAAAATTTAACCGTATGATTTTTACAATAACTTTAAAAAAAATATAATGCGTTAATTGAAAAAAAAAAAAACGCCTGACATGGATAAGTAGATTTTTTTTAACGAACATTAAGATTACAACATGAGAGTTATTTGAAAATAAACATCCAAACATATTTGTTGAAAAATTTTTTCTAAATTTTCAAGTCACGAAATAAATTGAAAAAAAAAAAACATAAAATTTGAACGAATAATGGTTTAAATCAAAGACAATTGTGTGAATTTTAAAATAAATTTAAGCTACCTTTCATGGCTTAAAAATTATTTCAGTAAAATTAACAAAATTCAAAGTTTTTTTAAACTCGTAAACTAATTGACCGATTTTCCGTTATTAAGAAAAAACAATTTGACATAATTGAAAAGAATTTGAAACAACTGAAAATAATTTTACTATTATATGTACACGACCGATTTTCCGTTATTAAGAAAAAACAATTTGACATAATTGAAAAGAATTTGAAACAACTGAAAATAATTTTACTATTATATGTACACAGAAAAAAAGGTTCACTTGAGCCAAGAAAATATTTTTCTTCTTAATTATTTTCTTGAGCGAAAAAAAAATTTTTTTTAGACAAAAAATTTCACTTATTCTAACAAAATTAATTCTCTTGCTTTGAGAAATACGTATCTTAATCCAAGAAAATTTATTTAAGTCAAGAAAATCTTCTTGTTCTAAGAAAATTCAGCCTTTTATTCCAAAAAACTTGGTTTTTGATAGAAGTAAATTTACATATCTTGATAAAATTTCTCTCTTGCTCCAAAAAATTAAATATTTCGATACAAGTAAATTTTCATTAATATTTTTATTGATTAACATATCAAATGAGAAGATCAAATAATATTGAATCATTTTTTTTCATTCAATATGTATAATTGCACGTTAAAATAATATAAAATGTGTATCAAATATTCAAGAGAAAAATTTTCTCTAGGTGAGAAAATTTTTTTCTCAGTTGAAGTAGGTGGTACTGCTTCCTTAAAGTATCTAAAAATCTTTATCAAATATAAAAATTAATTGTATCAAGTATTTATGATAATTTGAATTACGAAAAAATTACTTCCACCGAGAATAGAATTTCAAAAAAAATTTTTACTTCGGCCAACACAACTTCAGTCTTCCTTCAGACACCCGACAAATTTTCTTGAGTCAAGAATTTTGTTCTCCAGTCAAGAAATTTTTCTTTCTGTGTATAAATATACACTTTGCACCAATTAAATAATTTTAAATTGTTTTTCTTCAGAATGTGTCCCATCTTTTTCTCTCCTTGCACTTATCGAGAAAAAAAAATACTATCCTGTTGCACTTGCAACAGCAAAGCTATTGCAAATTTATGAATATTTCTTAAATAAATGAAAATTAAAAAAAAAAACACTGCCAGGAAATGGATAATTAAATAATCTATCGAGTAGTAGAGAGTTTTTTCTAAAATTTTTATTTGTTAAGAAGAAATTCATGAAGCTGTAATAGCTGGGACCGGCTCTTAACAAAGGTTGCTCATTTTTTAATTTGATCTCGGTATTTATTTATAGAATAATTCCACAAAATCTCATAAAGATCGGTCAAGAACTGTCGGTGCAATCCTACTGACATGGCGCGTTATATCATATACATATCTATAAACTTTTGGGCTGATACTATTTTTCGACAACTCGACAAAATAAAACATGTTATAAAAAAATTTTCTTCAAATTGGAACGTAAGACCAGCTATAGTAAAATGACAATATAGTTACAATTTTGCCAAAATAGATATAAAAAAAATTATTTACAGTTGTTATCAATTAGTGACTAAATAAAATCCCATAAATAAATCTCAAGGTGCGATTAAATATTCAAAATGACGGATTTACAACTAGAAGTTTACAATACCTTGACTATATCAAATTATCTTCTGATAACATAATAAATATTTATTAACAGTTCAAAAATCCTGCTATCAGTGAACCGTATCATTAAAATTCAAACAAGTCTATTGGCTTTTCTGTCAGTTGCTTTCTATAAAAATTATAGATACTTAAATCTTATAAGATATGCTGTGCACAAGAATTCACTGACAAATTTCAATTTTAAAATAACAAAAATAATGAGGGTGCGTTGAAGCGAACAAGTTTTGATAGGAAATGCAGCTATTATATGGAAAAAAAATATGTCTACGGAAAAGAAACCCGGTGTGTGTTCATGACCCGTGTCGGCCTCGTTGCGGTTATATCTCCCTGGATTCTAAGGTATGCTGCTGTTGCAGTTGCTGTTGCTGTTGGTACTCTCATTGCATCGAGATGGATACTTTTGCTCTTTCGCTTAGGTCTTTTATAGTTTTGTTCTTTCACGTACGGTACCTTCATTATTACTTTGATAATATTATTATTTTCTTTAGCAAACTTTTCTTCTCTAGTATTTTTAATCATTTTTCTTCAAAGTAAAAGCACCCGCATATTGAATAAATACAAAATTAATACACATTAAAGTTTATCTAGATTTGTTTAACCAAAGTTATAATGGGTTGTCAGTTCGTGCTAAAGTTTGTGATAGTCGTCTGATTTAAGATTCTGCGATACGGTTATTGCCGACAGTATTCTACATGATACATTAAAAAAATTCATTTGTTTTTTATTTTGTTCATAAAAGTACAACGTAGAATATCGCACGTATCTGTAATAATAAAAATAAAAATGAGTATCAACGTATAAAATAAGTACTTTATATATATATTGTAGTACATACCATACTCCACTTATGACTATGTATTTATTGGATCATACCGTCTTTCGCCTTTCGCAAATAACCGGATTGTAGGTCTAGTCTCGTATTCGACGATGTTATCGGTTAATGTGTGCTTGAGTTCATCAGTATACGGTTAACGATATTCGCTATCGTGGAAGAGCTTTAATATGTTTATGGATATATAATTGCGCTTAAGATTTTCATTATGATTATCGCCTAAAAATATGTATGTTTATAATGACTTATGATTATTTATTTCTTTTTTCAGCGCAAAGTTAAGTTTTGGTTCGCCACCGGAGGTGCTGGTTTCTGTATCAGTCGAGCGCTTGCACTTAAAATGGTCCCCGTAGCTGGGTAAGTTTCATTGTCTTTATTATCAGAACTATTAAAGTTGAGCTTTAATTCTCCGTAGATAACTTTTTGGTAATTAAACTCTTGTTAATTCGACAATGAAAAAAGCTGCTTGATTCATAATTCATAAGAAATATTTTCTTCGAGATTTCACGTTTGGTCCAAGATATTATAGATTTATAATATAAGTTTTATTGCATGTAACAGAATACAAAGATTCTCGTAGCAATTGGCCATGAGTACAAGTAATAAATATTGTTTTAAAAATGACACATATATAAAATAAAATCCATAGAAAAAAAATAAAAAAGTCGAAAGTTTATAATTAGAAATTAAGGCAATGCATATATTAAATAGCATATGATTAATTTAGCACTGATAAGTCTAATTAAATGATCAGAAAGCATACACAGATGATAGGTTTAACACTGATAGTAAAAAAAAATAATAGTCACAGACTTTGTAGCAATTAAAATAATACAATAGAGAGACTCGTTGTAGAGCGATGTTGTTGCACCGTTCATGTACCAACTTGTCAATATATTATGGATTTCAGAAATTAGTTTGAAATCACAAAATCAAAGCTCTTGGATGATCAGATAAATTTTACTGTAACGAAGCACTTTAATGTTTTTAAACAAGATACATATATAATTCATCCAAGAATTATCGTTTATTAAATTGAGATTGGCATTCATTCAAGATACTATTGACTTGTTTCAAGAATTGAAAAAATTGTCAAATTTTTATTAGTTTCTGTTAAAAAAAAAAGTCTGAGATACTCTTTAGAATATGTTGAAATAAAAAAATTTTTTTTAAAATATTTTTCGCCATTTTGAATGAAGAAATTTGTTTTTAATCCAAGAATTAATCCAAAAATATTAAGTTCTTAAATAAAAACAGAATAATTATTGGTTGAAGAAAATTGTTCTTGAAAGAACAGTTTACACTTTTTTCTCTCTCGGCCTCTATTGGTCAAACGGAAGTATCTCTGTCTCACTTGTAGTACAAATTAAATCTTAAAACGCATTTTATGGATAAATAAATGAAAATTTTCAAAAAAGCGCTTCGCCCGATAGATAATTTAATTATCTCTGAGGTTTAAAATCAAAACTTAACATGGTATATTGTAACACAGCATTTATAGAGTGTGTAATATTTTTGTTTTTTCTGGAACGTGGCTTAGTCCTCTAATCTTTTCATATAACAGCATAGCAATCAATGAATCAGATAAATATAGTTAATTAACATAATATAATCATTATAATGTAATGTGTCTCTCTTGTGTAAAACTCATTGTAATTACAATTATTATTAGTGGCCCTGTTTATGGCAATAGCTGTTGGGCCTAAGTGTAAATAAATAAATAAATAAATAAATAAAGAGCGAAGCGCTTTTTTTGAAATTTTATCTTATACATGAGCAATACACGTTTGAAACTTAACTATCAACCGCTTTTGATTAATTTCTTAATCCAAGATGATCAGATTTTTGGAAAAAAAAAAAAAACAGTTAGTTAATTTCAAAATAATTTTCTTAAATCACGATATTTTTTTTATTACTGCAACAAATTGAATATCGTGAGTAGCAAATACCAGGGGTTGGTTTTAGTTGTTGACATCTACAAATAAGCTTTTGACAAAAAATCAATTGTTGCGGACGTAACCATCAACTGTAAATAATCAAACAATGTTTTTAATTGTGGAAGGTATGAAAATAAATAAAACTGAGCTTGTAGAGAACAGACATGTGAATTGAATAGCAACCACTTATGAAATTTGTGGTGAACAGAGTTAAGCCAATTCTATCGATGTATAAACTTGATGTTTCACCTTTAATTAATTGAGAAGCATAAATACATATTAATAAATAATAAACAGCAAATGAAGAGAAAGAGAAGAAGAAGAAGAAGAAGAAGAAGAAGGAGGAAAAAGAAAAGGAAAAATTGAAGGTTATTGGCAAGACACGCGCAGGTGTTTTTATAAATTATTCGTATGGTATTTATAATATATGTAGACGGCGTATAATTGAATGAGAAAAAATTCAAAAAGACATTATCAGCTTGGTGTGCAGAATTACGTTTTCTGACGGACGTGGTATTTCCTCACAGTGGCAATTATCACGGGCAACGAAGCAAGTTACGTAGCCGGGACTAAAGGGGAGGCCCGCTCGCGTTCTCACGTTGTGCCCCTCAAGCAAAAGCCACACCACAACACAACGCTAAAGTTGATTATTCAAGTATACACATGGCAGTCCCAGTAGCAAGAGGAGACGTCGACCGTTCCGCTTTGCGATTGCCAAAGCGAGAATCACCTTGAGAATAACTACTACCAGATATTATACATATACATATATATGTATATAAAAAGGACATTGCTCCAATCCTGTGGATCAACATTTGAAGGCGCCTTTCTGCAGACCTACAACATAATTACGCACAACGAATATAATGGTAATACGTTCAGCACACAACATACTTCATACAAGATACATACCTGGTACACCAACAAATAGGTACATGAAGAATCCTTTACACACACTTGGACTGTTACATAAATGATCCAATGATGTTTGTCAATCAATACACGGAAAAAGTTTATCTGTAAACATTGAACAAGACATTTCAATTTATTGTCAACTGTGAATTTCTAAGTATTGTACCCGAATAAAATTTTAAATTAAACGATAAAACTTTGTCGTCCACTAATGCGCTCCAAGCTCCAAGCTTCAAGCTTCCAGCTCCGACTAGTTTTATAATACTTTTCTTTTTCTACTAATATTAATTGGATTCTTTAGCTCAATTTATGATTCTGCAACTGCCGCCAACTGCCAATTATGGTTCATACAAATTCTATAAGATTCAAGGCAATCAATACTCTGCCTCCTGATGCTCATTCAGTCCAACTATTAAAGAACAGCTATTTATTTTATTACAAGCCCGAAGAATAGAAAACAGCTGATAGGATGATAAATTTACGGTGAAAAAAAATTAAATAAACGACCAAATTTTCTTTGAATTTGCAAAAGAAGAAAAATTTTTATTAAAAAAAAGTAGAGGTGATTTGTTATTGTTTAATAAAATACGTGAAATAACTTTAGAAGAAAATGAGTTTGGCTGTGTCTTATTAACGATCAGCAAAAAGTAATGCGATGACACTGTCAAAGCTCACATTATTAACGTTGTTTTTAATGTACACATACAACGATCCAGAGACACACCGACAAATAAAGTTAAACTTGTACTTGATCCCAAAATTTCGATTTCGACGGTTGGTATTTTAACGAGCCCGATATTCTCGGTGGATTTGTTGGTTCAGATTGTTATTTTTTTTATTTTTTTTTTTTTCAGGACTTTTATGTTAGAAAAGCCGAAAGGACGCGATCGGTTCTCTCAGATCCGGTGAGAACGTATGCGAGCGGGCTGAGAGAAAAAGATAATAATAAAAATAGCATTATAAGGTTGAATGTGAATCTGTACTACTTGAAAGAGAGCTCTACTGAATTGCGTACGCAATAATAATAAGCTATTCCTTCTTCAGGAGGGTAACAGGGGGTGGGCTTTTAGGATTTCGGTGCTGAAACAACTAATCTGGCCAATTAAAAAAGACCTCGCAGATACGACGAACCATCACCGTAGATATAGCCGAGGCCAAATCACACACTACACACTCTACACTGGAGTATAGGGGTCGGGGGGAGGAAGGGAGGATTGAAACGATCGAGAATCCGACTGAGGTATTTGCTAATGAGCTTGCGTCCCTCCGCCAGCGCACAAACAAACGGACGACCCAATCCAAACAGAAAATGTTAATTAAGCGTGTCGCCGGCAACCGGCAACCACCACACTCGACTATTTATTTCATAAATTCACTTTTAATTGGCACCATGAAAATTTTTATCTCCGTAAAACGACCAAAAAGTATTTTCAATTTTACTCTTTTCTTCTTTTTTTTTTTTTTTTTTTATTTTTATAATTAATTTGAAATTTTATTTACTTATTTATATATTTTTAGATACCTATTGATAAAATATCAATCCGATAAATTTTAATTATCCGGAATGGAAAGTTGAGATGTCTCTGCTCCCAATAAATTATATTCGCCGAAAGCTATTCCTTTGTCACGAATAAAAAAAAAACTGAATTGATTTCCATTTCTGAACAAGTTTTTTAATAATCTATATTTGAAATTTCTTTTTTTAATATATTGATCGATAACTAGCATTAATAAATTTCATTTTGCGGATAGAGAACTGCAAGAATCGCCATTAGCACGATGTCACAGCCCACCCGTCGATTTGTCAACAAACTAACTTTTTATAAGCTTTTAAACCAAAGATATTTTTAAGCTTCTTCCTCTAATTAAGAAATATAGTTACTTTATAAAAACTTTCATCGTAAAAATTATCGCTCAAACATTTGATAATAGTTTGTTCCTCTTAAATAAGTTACTGTAATCCCTAAACTTATTTTCAGAGGCGGAAAATTTATTACGGTTGGTGATCGGATCAGACTTCCCGACGATGTGACAATGGGCTATATAATTGAGCATCTTCTGAAAAAACAGCTTACCGTTGTCGAACAATTTCACTCGCACCTTGAACCGATGAAATTTCTCAACAACGATACTTTTCATGAACAAGTACGTAACTGCAAGTATTTATTATAATTATAATTATTTTTCTTAACGGAAGTTATTAGTATTATTAGCTAATAAAATAAGTAATAATAAAAATACTTCACCTTGGCCAATCATTCAAACCATAACTTATTATTTGCAGATATCATTCAGCTATTCCAAGGGCCCCAGAGACGAGTGGAACATCGTGAAGATCGACGGCTTCGACCTTAAGAATGATCCAAACAGGTATTTATCCAGATAAATTTATTCGCTTCTCTATAAATTAAAAAACAAAACAAAAGTTAAAGAAATTGGTTTTATTCTTTTTTCTTTTAGCAATTAGACCTACATCATTTGTTATTTTTATTATCTTATTTATTTATTGACTGTACATAACTTTGTTATCTCTAACTGCTAATATTACTTTCCATTCGGAGTTGTTTCCACTTAGTGTGTCTGAGTATACGTGATTATTATAATAATTGCACGCGCGAATTCATTGTTGCCGTTATACATATATTGTATACATAAAACATATGAGCGCGTAGCAATCGGATAGAAAGAAGGATTTATATGCTGAGCAATTGTGCGTGTAATTTTAGTAACTGCATATAAAGTTATTCACACATACTTACCCTTTATAAAATTCCTGCAAATATATTAACTGTGTATAATGTTTATTTTTGATAATAAATTGTGCATTATTATCTTCACCAGTATTAACTATTTATTGTTCCGTTTCAGATTTCGATCGATACATTGTCGCTTGTTTCGACAAACAGAGATCAATTGCCCCCACAGATGATGATACACAACTATTGTTTACATATCAAGTGTCCTCAATTATTGAATCCCACGTATCCAAAGAGAACGTCGCTCAATGCGAAAAATTATTTTTGCGTGCCTTTCACGTACTTCGTTGTACATACTTTGTATTATAAATTATCATAATAGACTTTTTATGAGCTATTAACTCGATTTAAATGATCGATTTGTATACATTTCAACTCATACAATAGTTTGAATTATAATTATAATATTAATAATCATAATATCACAAAGACCGGGTGATAAATTCTTTTATTATAATAAGTATGCACTTTATAATATAATATTATTAATTATGATAAGGTTTTTATTATTTAATTGTTTAATTGTTTAATTATTTAATTGCAAATGCTTTGTTATTATTTAATTCTACACTAGTCTTTCGATTTGTAAAAAATTGAATAATTTAATTTCGAGGAAGTGATACGATGAATGCGAAAAAATGTATATTTATTTACTATTTTATGTACGATGTCAAACATCTTTAAATATTGATGATTAATTTAATTTTAATAAAATACTTTGTGAACAATGTATATCAAGTATGAGTTATGAGCGTGCAATAAAGTTTAAGTGCACATAAATCATTGGGTAAAAGTGCAAGATGTATGAGTTACTTTGGTCAGAGAAAAATACACATGTAGACTGATCTATAACTCTTTATCTCACGACATAGTCATCATGTAAAAAAAATGTACTGTACACCACGCAACGCTGTGGTGTACTGCTAAAAAATAATATACTTAAAGATATTATCAGAATGTAAATGGTTTGATAAAAATCAACTATTTGTTAAGTTATTTTTATACTGATACAATGCTTATATTTAAAATAGTTTGTAAATTAATTTAGCTTTTTATGTTATTAATTTATATGCGGTTGTAACATCATAAAATGATGATAAAACAGATATCTTTATTTTCTTATTGGATCGATCAACTTATTCTCTACTTATACGCGTATAAGCGGATTCAAATGTGTAATTCTTCAAGTATTTAATTTAACTGTAATATTTCAATTTATACAAAAACCAATTTAATCCGTGCTTTTTATTTGCTATATTTTTATATTTTTGATTCTAAAATAGTGCGTGTTTATAAAAATCAAAGACTTTACAGCTTAATTAGTCAATTGATGTCAATTAATATTTTTCTATTTAGATTTTTGATAAATATTTAACCTGTGATTTATAAAGAATTATATAAAATCTCAAAACTTTTTCTAATATTTACCTACAAGTGGTGGATAAAAATGTCACTCTGAAATCTTTTTACTAATAACAAGAAATAAAAATATTAAAAAAATGAATCTGAAAACAATTTACTTACTGAAATTCCATTCTTAATACTCTCTTAGTTACTATGTAATATTTCATAGGATATTATCCAAGTGATAATCTTTAAATTATCCTTTGATAATATTCGAGGCGCCGGAGCGTATTTTAATCTGCATAAAAATTCATGTAATTTAATAATCCTGAAAGAAGTAAAGAGTAAACAATTAAGAGTATAAATATGCATAAAATTTAATAAAATAAAAAAATGAAACAGATTTACCATTGTTATTATTATCATCATCACATATATATTTTATCTTAAGAATTTATTCTTTTGATAAAAAAATATTTATGGTAATATGGAAAATTATAATAAATTTCCATATTATATAGTATAAAAGTTTAACTTGACTGTTGATAATATGAAAACCTTCTGGTTTGTATCGATGTGTTGTGTAAAATGCTGAGAGAATATAAAAAGCTCCAGCATGCGCATTCTGACTGACTGATGAGAGCAAGTTGATTTTTAAAAAACATTTAATGTACAATGAGTATACATAGAATGGAGATTGCGATGAGGATGGTAATCGCATAATATTGTTACTGAGAGATGAGGTGCTGTCAGCACAGTAGATTGGTCAGCGGATGATACACCCGGATAGGAGGAATGAACGTGTTACGCGGTAAACGTGTACACTTTGTACACAGTACACAGCCTGAATACATAGATACAGATATAGACTTCCTGCACAATACATTGTAGCTGAAGTAAAAGAAGCTTCGATTTTTTGGTAGCATCACTGCGCACAGTGATCAATATAGAGTGTGGAGCATAGAAAAGCTCGAGTATACAGTACAGTAGAGCAGAGGGTAGTGATAGTAAGGGTAGTGATGAAAATGGTGGTGGTGGTTACTCTAGGTAGTTATCGGTGCTCGTGCGCGGAACGGAACTAAATCAGCTCTAGCAGCAGCAGCAGCAGCAGCAGCAGAAGCAGCAGTACAGGGTACAGGGTTTTGAGGGGTTGCTGCTGCTGCTGCTGGTAACTCGCGATGGCGGGGGTGAACGATCGAGGAAACGTTGGTTGAGGAACAGAACGGAGCTCAAGCTCATATCAGTGAGACCCGCGTCGCGATAGCGTACACTACCGCGCACATTCCGACCATAGCAAACTAGGTCAAGCTCACTGCCGCTTCTGCACGGCTCGCTCTCTTAGTCGCATCACAGCCAGCCGTGCAGGAGCGCCCTTACGCTCCTTCCTTCTTTTAACTGTACGTACTTTTCCTTAAACCTAAAAATCATTTTAAACATTTTTAAAATTACTATCCATCAATTAATTATTTAAAACAACGACATCAATCTGCTACTTACCGCATTTGGTGGTTACTAAGTCAATATAACTTCTGCAACGTATATATAACTACCACCCGCGAATAAACCACAATGTCGCATAAATATTTTATCTGCGTATAAATACATCCTTGTTAAATTGGTCTGACTAAATGGATCGTGTCGCAATCATCTATACTCCAATTGAAACTGCACCTACAACAGAGTTTACTAATTAATCATCAGCTATTAATTGTTTAAACATTGAAATTGATTTTTGTCACGATAAATAACAACGTATAGACATACTTACACCACCGGAAAATTTATTTTTTATTAATAGTGCACACGTGCGGCTGATATTTATTAATTTGCTGATAGAAACAATACACAACATCCACCAAGATAAAACGTTATAAATTGATATTCATTTATTGATGCTTCAGCCTTTTTTTTTTATTTATTTTAATTTTACACTCGATGTAACAATTTAAATTTCGCGAGTTTAATTTTCTTTAGAATTTTTTCACCTGGAAGAAAACTGCTCCAAGACCACTTTTAAACTCTGTGTTCCTAGTGTAAACTAAGCTATTTACATTTTAAGTCCTTGGCCGTGAAATTCAACGCATGAATTATTTCTCGGTTTTCTTCTTTCTTCTTTTTATTTTTTTCTAAAACATTCATCAAATTCACATGATTTATTTATTTATTTATTTTTTTTTTTTTTTGCAGCAGATGACAAGAATTTAAATGTACAATTAGCCAGTATTAAAACAAAACATCTTTAAGATTATTTCGTGGTATAAGTCACAGACAATCAAAAGTGAGTATTTTATCTGAAACATTTAAACTAGACAAATTATGAAAATTAATTTAGCGTATAGGTTTAATAATTTTAAAAATTTTATTGCAAATAAATTCTGGCAAAAAAAAAAAATTAGAAAAAAAAATTGACATGTAGAAATTTAAAAGAATAAAAAATGCAATTTTTTAAAAATAATTTTTTGGAGCAAATTTTTTTGATAAATAAAATTAACAAATTGTTAAGTGACTGCTAACTTTAATGTCATAGACAAATTATATTATTGTTTAACAAGTAAATTATTTGAAACGTTAGTCGTATTGTTTGATTGATTTTTAGAGTAGTAGTTTATTATTCAGGTAATAATATATTTGTAAATATCCATATATATAGTTATATTTACATTCGATATGCATTATTGATGTATACCAGAGCTTAAATAAAGCTATAAATACTTGATAACTCATTTATTAAAGTTGATTGATTATTTAATCACTCAATTAGATCATCCATATATCTGTATATGTATACATTTTACAGGATTATCATATAAATGAGGTTATCTCTGCAACAAGAGTTATTACTGTTTATGGTTATTAATTTTTAAATTGTGTTCAGTTAATTTAAGCCGCTGCCGGTGATTATCATAGAAAAATAAAATGATTATTTCCATAGTCTATAGCTGATGAATTATTGAAAAGTTTTTTTAAAACCAAATATGCAATTGACCCAGTAGGTCGTGCACTAAAAGAATATATTCTCGGAAGAATATATAATATGGAAAAACGAAAAATTAAATTAGTCATTTAGTAAAACAATGGCTGTGTTTAGGTTTATCGTGCCGAGTTTTATTTACTATACTTCATTATATTTTCCTATGGCTATTTTATACTCTGAATATAATCACAGTTGTTATTTTGTGCAAGATCCAAGATCAGCTGAAAACTTTGTTTAACTTTGTAAAGCTGAACGCCGCCATAATGCTTCAATTGTATAAAGTTGTGGTTAATAAAAAAAGCTCTCGAGAGCGAGTTTGTACGGGAAAAAGTTAAATGACGTAATGTAAACAAATTATATCTTTAATATCTACTCGCGGTCGGTAACGCGTCATCTCAAGTTTTTATTTAAGTTTAAATCTCTAAAGAACCGTCGCTTTTAAGAGCAATGCTGTGTAACTACTCTTGGTTTTCAACTACTTTGTCCTATTTTTTGATGCGCAAAAAATTACAGTATATATACATATATTTATTATTTTTTTTTTTTTTTATTTTCCTTCAGCTACATAATACGCGCGCTCAGATAAATTAAAAATATGTCTGTGCCATTTTAGAAATGAAGTACACGGACGCAAACAGAGGGTAAATAATAATTACGTGATGATAGATAAGTGTCTTAACGCTGTCAAATTACTAACTATTATTATTTTAATCAATTACAGACAGTGAAATTAAATTTACATTTTTCATAACGTCGATACGTGAATTTTTAAATTCTCTATTTGACCAATGAAGAATCAATCGTTCATGAAAAATAAATGTAGAAGTACTGATGAATATTAACAGAGTCAAGAGT